ACAACCTTGTTTCACTCCTCTTGACAGTTTAAAACTTGCTGAGAAATAGACATGATTTACTATTTTACACCTAGGGTTACTATACATGATTTTAACCCAATTTATAAGAGATTCTCCAAAATTGAAATGCTCCAGGCATTTATATATAAACCCCAGTCGTACTTTATCAAATGCCTTTTCGAAGTCTGCTATGAATAGCAGGCCTGGTTTCCCAGATTTTTCATAGTGTTCTATTGTTTCCAGTACTTGCCTTATATTATCTCCAATGTATCGTCCATGTAAAAAACCTGTCTGATTAGAATGAATAATGTCTGACAATACCTTTTTAATTCTATGCGCTATACATTTTGCTAGAATTTTTTGCATCACAACACTGAAGTGTAAGGGGCCTCCAATTTTTTTAAATGGACTGGATCTTTATATTTTCCACTTGTATCCTGTTTTAGTAATAATGAAATCAGACCTTCTTCTTGAGTGTCTGATAATCTACCATTTACATAGGAGTGGTTAAAACATGCTAATAACGGTCCTCTGAGTATATCAAAAAAGGTTTGGTATACCTCGACTGGTATGCCATCCAACCCTGGAGTTTTCCCGGACTTAAAGTCTTTAATTGCATCCAGAAGTTCCTCCTCTGTAATTTCACCTTCACATGAGTCTTTCTGTATGGCTGTTAATTTTACATTATCAGTAAAAAAAAAAAATCGCTACAATTAGCTTCAGTTAGAGGAGATGGAGGCGACTCAAATGAAAACATATGCTTAAAGTACTTTGTTTCCTCCTTCAAAATATAATTTGGTGAATCATGGGTGACTCTGTCATTTGTAACCAGTTTCAGTAAATTATTTTTGGTAGCATTCCTATGTTGAAGATTAAAAAATAATTTGGTGCATTTTCCCCCATATTCCATCCAGTTTGCTTTATTTTTTATAATATATTACACTTGATCTTTCTTGAATAAGTTTCTCAATTTCTTTTTGTTTTTCCTCTAATTTATTCTGATCCTCTATGTTACCGTTTTTATTGCTATCTATCTGTTCTGTTAGACCTTCTATTTCCTTTGTTAGTATGGACTCTTTTGACCTAAATTGCTTTTGTTTTCGGGATGAGTACTGAATTGCATGGCCTCTAAAGGCACATTTAAAGGTGTCCCATACAATAAGGGGATTTGCTGTACCTATGTTATGTCGGAAAAAATCTGTTATAAATTCTTCTGTCCTAGTTAAAAACAAGTTATCATCCAATAAGCTTTGATTAAATTTCCAATATCCTCGCCCTTTTGGTGCCAACGAGAATGACATAAGAAAGAAGTCAAGACTACTAGCTTGATTGCGTCTCCGCCATGTATATCTCACTAGATCAGGATATTTAAGCCATATATCTACTAGTTGTAATGTATCCATGACATTCCCGATTTCCTTAAGAGCATGAGGGTGATCGTTTATAGTGTGATTTCCTTTACAGTCCATTGAGCTATTTAAAACGGTATTATAATCTCCCACCATAATAGAGTCTTGAATTGCTTGCAGGGTTGATAATTTATTATACACTGCTCAAAAAAATAAAGGGAACACTAAAATAACACATCCTAGATCTGAATGAATGAAATAATCTTATTAAATACTTTTTTCTTTACATAGTTGAATGTGCTGACAACAAAATCACACAAAAATTATCAATGGAAATCAAATTTATCAACCCATGGAGGTCTGGATTTGGAGTTACCCTCAAAATTAAAGTGGAAAACCACACTACAGGCTGATCCAACTTTGATGTAATGTCCTTAAAACAAGTCAAAATTAGGCTCAGTAGTGTGTGTGGCCTCCATGTGCCTGTATCACCTCCCTACAACGCCTGGGCATGCTCTTGATGAGGTGGCAGATGGTCTCCTGAGGGATCTCCTCCCAGACCTGGACTAAAGCATCCGCCAACTCCTGGACAGTCTGTGGTGCAACGTGGCGTTGGTGGATGGAGCGAGACATGATGTCCCAGATGTACTCAATTGGATTCAGGTCTGGGGAACGGGCGGGCCAGTCCATAGCATCAATGCCTTCCTCTTGCAGGAACTGCGGACACACTCCAGCCACATGAGGTCTAGCATTGTCTTGCATTAGGAGGAACCCAGGGCCAACCGCACCAGCATATGGTCTCACAAGGAGTCTCAGGATCTCATCTCGGTACCTAATGGCAGTCAGGCTACCTCTGGCGAGCACATGGAGGGCTGTGCGGCCCCCCAAAGAAATGCCACCCCACACCATGACTGACCCACCGCCAAACCGGTCATGCTGGAGGATGTTGCAGGCAGCAGAACGTTCTCCACAGCGTCTCCAGACTCTGTCACGTCTGTCACATGTGCTCAGTGTGAACCTGCTTTCATCTGTGAAGAGCACAGGGCGCCAGTGGCGAATTTGCCAATCTTGGTGTTCTCTGGCAAATGCCAAACATCCTGCACGGTGTTGGGCTGTAAGCACAACCCCCACCTGTGGACGTCGGGCCCTCATACCACCCTCATGGAGTCTGTTTCTGACCGTTTGAGCAGACACATGCACATTTGTGGCCTGCTGGAGGTCATTTTGCAGGGCTCTGGCAGTGCTCCTCCTGCTCCTCCTGCTCCTCCTTGCACAAAGGCGGAGGTAGCAGTCCTGCTGCTGGGTTGTTGCCCTCCTACGGCCTCCTCCACGTCTCCTGATGTACTGGCCTGTCTCCTGGTAGCGCCTCCATGCTCTGGACACTACGCTGACAGACACAGCAAACCTTCTTGCCACAGCTCGCATTGATGTGCCATCCTGTATGAGCTGCACTACCTGAGCCACTTGTGTGGGTTGTAGACTCCGTCTCATGCAACACTAGAGTGAAAGCACCGCCAGCATTCAAAAGTGACCAAAACATCAGCCAGGAAGCATAGGAACTGAGAAGTGGTCTGTGGTCACCACCTGCAAAACCAGTCCTTTATTGGGGGGTGTCTTGCTAATTGCCTATAATTTCCACCTGTTGTCTATTCCATTTGCACAACAGCATGTGAAAATTATTGTCAATCAGTGTTGCTTCCTAAGTGGACAGTTTGATTTCACAGAAGTGTGATTGACTTGGAGTTACATTATGTTGTTTAAGTGTTCCCTTTATTTTTTTGAGCAGTGTATATATATTGTCAAAGAAGTGTGGATCATAATTATTTGGTCCGTAAAGGTTAATGAGCCATATCTATTTATGGTCCAATAACATATTTAAAATAATCCATCTACCTTGCATATATTTTTGGACAATTTGCACATTCGGATCGAAATTACTGTTAATTAATATCATCACCCCTTTTGAGTTTCTTTGCCCATGGGAGAAGTATATTTCGCCCCCCCCCATTCCTTTTCCCACGCAACTTCATCTAGAATTGTTGAATGAGTTTCCTGTAAACAATGGATATTATATTCCTTCTCTTTGAGCCATGTAAATATTGTTCTTCTTTTGTTATTTGAAGAAAACATTATTGGAATTAAAATGAGAAGCTTAAAACAGTAGTTAAACAGTAACTCCGTTTAGCAAATAAGCAAAACAGATTCTGCTGTAAGTGTTCTGTTATCACTTAGGAACACTTCTTTACTAATTAATCACAAACCGCCAGAGTAAGAGGACAGCTACTGATGATGAAGCGTCCGTGCACACACAGACACACACACACACACACACACACACACACACACACACAGACAGAGAGAGAGAGTTTTCAGTCTCTCGGAGGACAATACAAGATCCAAAAAGTTGGCTTTGCGTGGAATTTTTAACTGGATTAGGGTTAGAGGGTGCTGATTACTGAGTGAGGTGATTAGATTAGTTTATGTACATGTTGGCGAACTGGGTCTAGTAATAAAAGTTGCCTGTGGATATGGCAGTGGAAGTAACAAGAAATGGAAGTAAAAGGAAACAGGCAAAATATTTGTAAAGTCAGCAATAAAAATAAAAACATAATAATAAAAATCCAGTGGTGTAAAGTACTTAAGTAAAAATACTTTAAAGTACTACTTAGGTCATTTTGGGGGGTATCTGTACTTTACTATGTATATTTTTGACAACGTTTTACTTTTACTCCACTACATTCCTAAATAAAATGTCATTTTTCCTCAATACATTTTCCCTGACACCCAAAAGTACTCGTAATATCTTGAATGCTTCGCAGGACAGGAAAATGGTCAAATTCATGCATTTATCAAGAGAACATAATAATAATAATAATAATCCCTGGTCATCCGTACTGCCTCTAATCTGGTGGACTCACTAAACACAAATGCTTCGTTTGTAAATTATGTCTGAGTGTTGGTGTGTGCCCCTGGCAAAAAAAAACATGAACATTGTGCAGTCTGGTTTGCTTAATATAAGGAATTTGAAATGATTTATACTTTTACTTTTGATACTTAAGTATATTTAAAACAAAATACTTTTAGACTTTTAGTCAAGTAGTATTTTACTGGGTGACTTTAACTTTTACTTGAGTTATTTTCTATTAAGGTATGTACACTTTTACTCAAGTATGACAATAGGGTAATTTTCCCACCACTGTCATAATCTCAATCATGGATCAATGATTCAGATAAGGTTGCCTGTGCCATCATCAGTGTAATGTAGTAGTGCACAGACCTACTGGTTTGTGTGGATGGGTAACAGGCCTATTGACGGCTCTGGTTATATTTGGTTACAGGTTACACAGCGCCGTTATGTGGCCATTTATTTTGTCTCATGTAGAGGCCTAATTTAAGTATTCCATCCCAATCTTGCAATCAACCAATTATAGTAAATGCATTGCATTCGTTGATCATATATTTAATTGAGGTTTATAATTAACAAAAATGCGTGAATGGGTACATTTTTGCAAAAAAAAGTTGGAGCTCGCATTCAAGTGTCCATTGTAGAGCTTTACGCAGAAGTAAAACGCGCTTGGAACAGAGTGCGTTGACCTGGTGCTAGGGTGTCCTCGATGGGTATCATAGGATGGGTTTGCAGAGTTGTTCGTGATGGCGTTGCCGTGGCTGCTCGTTTTGGAGCTCGTACTTTACGCAGGTTGTTTCATCTGTGGAATAATGTCTGTTGCCTCACTGACAAACACCCAGGTATGAACGCATTCATGTTTGAAATGTCGGACCTTTCAACTGCAGATGGGACATTCTAAACGTGAGAACACTTATGAACCAACTTGATAGCACTCTTTTTTTATCCCTTTATAAAATTGATCAATAGACAATATTGGAAACACAGCCTGATAGGCTACTGTCTGCTGCCACACTACTTTCACTCTCAAATGGACACTAGGCTATGAGTAGGCAGCTGCTGGGTATTGAGACGTTTTTATCACCCTCTCAACAATGTCAAACTTTTGGTTGCTACATCCAATAGTTTAGTAAGATTTTATCAGATTTTCAAGAACTTTTCTCCCATATTATATTGTATTTTCCTGCATTTCTCTCAGCGTTTGTAACACAACCCAAAACACGGGGACTAGCCATAGGAGCAAATAATGAGAGAATAAATTAAATCAGTAGAGATCATCACGTGACTTTTTAAGTCAGGGAATATCTGATTATTTTTATGTCTTAGTTGACTTCACCTAAATGCACTATTGACATTGCAATATATTAGGCCTCCATTTCCATATAGATGGCAATGCCTGTTTGAAATTAAATGTGAGTTCTACATGAGTTCTACATTCAGAGATCTCCCTGTTGTGTCACATGGCCCAGTGGCACCATATGATAATCATCTAATGTCCTAAAATAATATAACTATTCATTTGTGCACATGAATGGAAGAATGGAATTTCTCAAGCATCAAGTTGAATTAGGCTCCCTATCCAGGCCAGGAGAGACAGTGAGGCCTGTGTGTGACAGACAGACTATAGGTTGTGTAACATGCATTACATTATTTAAATTGCATACTGTAGAATAAACTATATAGTTTTACTGAATGCATCTGTAAAATGTGTATGTCATGATGGGCCACTTTACAAGCCAGTGCATTCGTTATGGGACTGTTGAGTACAACACATCTGGCCTGGTCATTGAGAGCCCAGCCATCCCTCCCTCTGCTACTTAGTGTCTACTGGATCTACACCAGCTGTGTGGAAGAGGAGGTCAACTCTATGGCCCAGCAATTGTGTTAATAATATCGATTTCCATGCCCAAATAGTGTGGCATCAACAGAAATGATTTGATTTGTTTGTTGTTGATTTGATTTTGACTGTATTTCTTTACCTATCTCCTATCCTGCACCCCCAGGGAACATGTGGCTGAATGTGACTCTGGGCATGTGTGAAGATATTGTTCTTCCTGGCGGTGTCAGGAGGTACTCTGAGGATCGTCAGGGACCGCCTCTGTCTGTCTGCCCTTCACAATGTGCCCTCCATAACCAGGTGAGATGGCTGCCTTGTTTTTCTGTCTTCTCCTTCTCTGTGCTCAGTGCCCTCTTGTCTCTCATACTGTATATGAAATGTAAAATATTTTATGCTGTTCTTTTTCATCTGGAGGACTTCTTTAATTTCAGTTGTGATGAAGCAGACCATAAAACCTGGGTCAGCCCCTACGATGGGAATCAGTTCTACACAGGCTTGTAAACTCAGCAAAAAAGAAACGTCCCTTTTTCAGGACCCTGTCTTTCAAAGATAATTTGTAAAAATCCAAATAACGTCACAGATCTTCATTGTAAAGGGTTTAAACATTGTTTCCCATGCTTGTTCAATGAACCATAAACAATTAATGAACATGCACCTGTGGAACGGTCGTTAAAACACTAACAGCTTACAGATGGTAGGCAATTAAGGTAACAGTTATGAAAACTTAGGACACTAATGAGGCCTTTCTACTGACTCTGAAAAACACCAAAAGAAAGGGTGCGTGAACATGCCTTAGGCATGCTGCAAGGAGGCATGAGGACTGCAGATGTGGTAATGTTCGTACTGTGAGACGCCTAAGACAGCGCTACAGGGAGACAGGACGGACAGCTGATCATCCTCACAGTGGCAGACCACGTGTAACAACACCTGCACAGGATCAGTTACAGGGAAGACATCCTCCTCCCTCATGTGGTACCCTTCCTGCAGGCTCATCCTGACATGACCCTCTAGCATGACAATGCCACCAGCCATACTGCTCGTTCAGTGCGTGATTTCCTGCAACACAGGAATGTCAGTGTTCTGCCATGGCCAGCGAAGAGCCCGGATCTCAATCCCATTGAGCACGTCTGGGACTTGTTGGATTGGAGGGTGAGGGGTAGGGCCATTCCCCCCAGAAATGACCAGGAACTTGCAAGTGCCTTGGTGGAAGAGTGGGGTAACATCTCACAGCAACAACTGGCAAATCTGGTGCAGTCCATGAGGAGATGCACTGCAGTACTTAATGCAGCTTGTGGCCACACCAGATACTGACTGTTACTTTTGATTTTAACCCCCCCTTTGTTCAGGGACACATTATTCAATTTCTGTTAGTCACATGTCTGTGGAACTTCTTCAGTTTATGTCTCAGTTGTTGAATCTTGTTATGTTCATACAAATATTTACACATGTTAAGTTTGCTGAAAATAAACGCAGTTGACAGTGAGAGGACGGTTTCTTTTTTTGCTGAGTTTATAATGCAGAGGTCTGTCCTGACACTATCCATACCATAATAATAACACACAAATCAAAACGCTGTTGCCTTATTAGACCACAAGCTGCTTCAAAAACCACAGATACTTTTTTATAGCCCTTGTATTGTCATTCTTTTTTAAAACCAAATATTGTATTCTTCATCTGTCCTCTATTTGTCTTTCCCAGAAGTCTGTGTGGGTGAACGTCTTCTTCTGGGTGCTGATCGTGGTGGCGGTGTTTGTCCAGAAACATCAGGTGTTAGGGTCAGAATGGAGCATGTCTGAAACAGAACCCTTCTTCCCCTGACCCCACTGACCTAACCTATAGCCTGATGGGTGCCATTGTGTCCTTGGATCCAGTTCCCTGCATGCAAGAACCTAGTACTGGCCCAATATCAAATAACAGGGGCTTGTAAAACAGGATGTTTAGGTCATCAATGGGGCAACCTAACTACAATGTGTTTTCACTATGGAATAATGGGAAGTACAATTAACTTGGGAAGTAACCTCTTCCATTTTTGTATATTTAAATCAATTAGTTACACAATTCAGTCCCTCCCTGTTACATAGGATGACCTGTTCAAAGTATACTGTACTGATATGTAACAGCTGTGAAAGACAAACCATTTCCTGTATAGAGTATCTTATACATTTATATCAAAAGAAAATGTCATTGCTATAATCTTTATTTGATTATTATTCATTAAGTACAGATCATTACTATTTATTTTCTAGTATTGAATGATTTACAATTTTACATTTTATGAGAAAAGGGTTTGCAATTGAAAAATTTAATCCATCACAACCTTTATAAATGGCATTAACTACACTGTCTTCAGTCCCAACCACTTCATCATTCTGTGCCTCCTCTCACCATCCATCCATCCCTCTCCTCTCTGCCCTCTTCTTCACGCGCTGTCTTTCGCCCCATCTTTTACAATTGCTTGGCGAGTTTGCGAGCTTGTCCTTATTTTGCTTTAGCGACAGCCTTGGTGTCCAGGAGCTGCTCCAGCTGCCTGCGTATGTTGGATATGTCTAGCTGTGCTGCTTATATCTGCTGGCGCAGGCCCTTGCACTCCGCCCTCAGCTGAGCTGTGACCAGGGCCAGCTGGGTGCTCTGCACCTTGCATTGGGTCCTAAGCCATGCTGCCTCCACCAACAGGCTCTCCATGTTTCTTACAACAGAATCCACCTGCTCCTGAGACATTTTATGGACTGGGGGAAAGTGAAAAGTGAAATATTACAGGACAAATGGGGCACAAAACGCACAGTAGTCTGGCATTAACACCAAGCAGAGCATAAAACATCTGACATGGCTTTGCAATGAGGTGAATCAACACTATCTTAAAACCACTAGATAAGATATTAGCCACCCTCCTGTAAATGTTAATAAATACTGAAATGTTCATGACGGCAGCATGTCTGATTCATCGGCCCCTGAGACAACTGCTAGTAGCTTACCGTGGAGCTTATCTCTCACCTACAGTGCTATCAACAACAGGCAACACATTTTCACCAATCAACCACAAAATGGCATACATTGTTTTACATCGATGTCTCCATAAGGGAAGCCAACAAATAATTTGTGGATAACACATTGCATGTGACAATATAACAGAATATTTCAGTGTAACTACCTGCAGTTATTGGATTATAATTACGTGGTTACCAAAGTTCTTGCATAACTGCATAGTACAACATTTTGCTGTAAGTGTTTAAACAGTTTGCTCTGATTTATACAAACTCATAATATTGTATGTCTACAGACATTTCTTGGAAGGGCCACTTACCACAGTGAGAAAAGTTTAACATCTGCAAATGGAACATGTGCTGCAGCAGTTTCTTCTCTCCTCTTCACCCAATTTATTTATTTTTTACCTACTACCTACTTAACAATTACTGGTAGATTCCCATGCAGTTGATGTGCAGACTCTCATTTGTCATATGAAATGTGACGTGTGCTTAGCCCTCCTTTAAAACCAGCTTAGGGTGGGAGGGAGGGAGAGTGAGACTTTGCTTGCATGCAGAGTCATGCATGGATGTACTGAGAACCAAAACCAACACTTCTAATTCTTTACAAAATGATTTTATGAATCTGGTTACAATATGTAGTTACAAGAACACTGGTAACAACAATGTAACCTAACAGTTATAGGCCTAATGCAATTTCAAACAGTTACTGTACTTGACACTCAACAACAATTTGAATTTGTATTGGTAACACATTAGATACAGCAGAATGGGTACATACAGGAGTCTTTTCAAAGATAAGGTGTGGTTTTAAAGTGTATGTGGGATGAGTCACCGCACACATTTAGTTGTTCTGTACTTCTGTCCTTGACCATGTCAATACCTTCATACTTATGAATGTTTACATGGCCATTATTTGAATTTGAAGTAGGTCCATATTCACGACCATGGATCCTTTTACTGTTAGTAAGATGGCTATTTGTGCTTAATAATGTGCACCTACTATGGCAAGTGTATATGCTGATGTATAGAAGTGTAAATCCTGACATGCTATTTCGCCTGGCTGTCAGTCTTTGTATGGGTGTGTCTTTCTGTAATTTTGTTAAGTTGTGTTTGAGCAAAATATGCTGTGCGTTATGTCAACTATGTGCTGTCTTTTTTTTAATTATCTAAATAAAGGCAGATAATACATTTATTGAAATAAATATTGTGTTATGAATTTGCTCTAATTCCAGGCCCATTTTTGGCTCTAGTTCCAAGGCTTCCGAGCATCGGTCACATATGGTGCTCCTATTGGCCTCAGCTGAGTGAGGGGTGGGGGAAGTGTGGATATGTACTCTACTGCATCAAATCCATACTTGACCATGATGTTTAACTACAACAGTGGGTAGAACTGAGACATGGGGAGAACACCTTTCGAATTCTGGTAAAGGCCAAATTGCTAAGAGGCATTTAATAAAGGGGTTAATCATAAAACATAAAATGGGACAATTGCTCTCTCCATAACTCTCTCTTTCATCATATTCCATCTCCTGTTCCCCCTATCCATGCTGAAAAGTGAGTGTCTTTCTCCACATTCCTGTTGTCTGTGAGGGGGGAAATTGATGTTTTTGGCTGACAGTGAGTCACAAGGCTGAGCAACAAGGACATGTTTTTTTAAGGCCTTGTGGGTCATACACAAACAATCCTTTGTGTTAATGTATACTGTTCCGCATTCTTATAAAATCATGAAGTTTCTCTTAAAGTAGCTAGGTTTTTAGCAACTACTGCATCTTTGCTCAAACATACCCATATGTGCACTTAACTCTTAAAAAATGATTCACTATATCTCTGATGTCATATCGTGGACAATATTGTTGGCCGCTTGGATCTGCATGATCTCAAGAGGAAGGCGAGTAGGTGACATAAGCCTCATCACTACAGTGTCTTGATCAAATGATTTGTTTTACATCTAAAAAATAATATAAAATAGTATTACTATAGACTCTTTGTGGGATGATAATCGTTTTTTGATTTCATTGGCATGAGAGTAATGCTCCACTTCACCCGGGAGTTCTGTAAGTTTACACAATATACAGTGCCCCTTGAATTCATCTAATAGCTCGGTGGACTACTACTACTCTTGATACGCTAACTCAGCAGCTCATTGATACATCCATACATTCATGAACATACATTTCATACATTGATGAACAAAGATACAAAGCGATTGTTGTTCATTGTGGACAATGGGATACACATATTACACACTCTTAAGCAAGAGCAACTACATAATTGTCATTTAATCTACTGTGACACAATAGTTTTGTTTCCCTACACATTTTGCACACACAGTAGTCCTTTGTCGCAGGTCTGGAAACCTGGATTTTTCCATTTGTTTTCTTTCTCCTTCTTTACCCCTCTTCTTTCCAAATCACCACTTCTTTTTCATCCATCCCTATTTTCCTCTCCTCTGCTCTCCTCTCATTCATTTCTTGCATCATCTTGAGCAGATTTGCTTATCTACTCTCCATCACCCTAGCCAATCACAATGACTATCCTGCGTTAAGGTCCTCCCCTCCATGGCAGCTCTCCTCACCATGGATGATCAACAAAGGCAAGTGGAGAGCTTCCTGATAAGCTGGTGGTCTCTCTGTCACACAGGCCACTCCCTGCATGATCTCAGCCCTCACTCTCTCTAGTTCCTGCTCTCTATCCTCTTCTTGCTGCAGACTATTCTCATCCTCTTCAAATCCTTCTCCCTCCAGGACCCCTCTGCTCTCTTCGTTAGCCCGGCGGAGCCCCAGTCCCAGAAACCCACCACCTTCGTCCCCTCTACTCCCCATCCCTGCACCAAGGCTCCGGGAGTGAAACAGGCAGGCCTGCCGCACTGTGTGCAAACGGCCAAGAGAGAATCCACTGCGGCTGAGGGCTAGCCTTCCTCCTCCCATCCTTCCCACTGTCCCATATGTCAAAGAGCCCGCCCCCATCGCCACGTTCCCCCTGACTCGCGAGGGGAGCGAGGAGCTGCTGGTGGACCTACGACAGCGGGGGCAGCTCTGGAGGACGTAGCTGGAGCTCCGCCTCATAGGGACACGTGTTGCCCTGGTAACTGCAGAGGGCGAAGATGTTGTGTTGTTGGTGTTCAGGTCCATCAGCAAGGCCTCGGAGTAACTGGGTACCATCTGCTGGTTGCAGCGAATGTGCCACTCCAGTTCAGTGATGTCCACTGTGTTGACCCTCGATATGACACGTATTCTGGGGCCACCACGTTGCCCATTCTCCTGGCCTGAGCGATAGTTGCCCATCTCAGTGCTGTCATTTTCATTTACTTCCTCGTTCTCACCAAACAGCTTCTCGACATGATAGTGAACATATGCCGTACGGTACTCCGACACCACACGTAGTGGCCAGGACAACATCAGGGCTGAGATCAGCCAATACATGCGCCGACGAGAGAACCAGGGCGGCCATGCCGGGTCAGGAAAGGCTAGCATGTGCTCACGGAAGTCCACGTTCTTCAGGTGCATGCCCTCCCGCGCCTCCATGTAGTCATCCAGACCCTCGTTCTCTGCGAAGAAGCGTGCACGCTGGGTGAGGTAGGCGGCCTCGGCATGGGCACTGGCAAAGCTGAAACACTTGGTGAAACGAAGGCGTACGGCCGGGTGCTCCAGAAGGCCAAGCAGCTCCTTGGATACGTCCTTGACACCATGTCGGGCATAGTCAAATTCAGAACTGGCTGTGTGTGTGTTGACCCGCTCATGGTACACCTGTGTGGTGGTGTAAGCGTCACCATTGCGGTATCGAGTCACCTGCCGTGTCCGTCTCACATAGTGATAGCTGATGGCCTTCCACCAGATACAGGGCATGGCCTGCTGCAGCCTCTGGACCCTGTTGTACACCTTGCTGATCCTCACCCGGGCCAGAGAGGATGTTTTAGAGAAGCAGTGCCAGCACTCCACCAGGTAGACCAGGTACAGCATGATCAGGAAGGCCACCGGGATGTAGACGTAGCCGTTGGAGCAGGGGCTGTCATGGTAGAGGCGGGCGCGGCCGCCGTAGTAGAGGCCGTGTTCATCGGCAGCCATGACAGTGACGCGGTAGAAAGAGCACCATCCCAACGTGGCGAAACAGCCGAACATCAGCAGCGTGAGAAGCAGGCACTTCCAGTGGGACTCTCGGCATAAGGACCTGGGAAGGGACTGTTTACAGGGACGCTGCTACATGGGGGAAGGGATAAGAGACAAGGTAAAGCAGATGATGGGGGGGATGGAGGATCGAGCACAAATACGGGTAGAAATTTGGTTAAGATTTTATAAATGGGAGTAGCAGAGTTTGAGTGATGGGATCAGGAGCACAGGTTGAAGGTTGGGTAAAGGGAGGGATGCGAGAGTGGACAGGACATTGGAAAATGATTGTGTAAGTGGTGGGGATGGTGATGGGGTTTTAACGATAATAAAACATCAAGCGTAATGGATCGTATGAGGGGTGATAAAAAGGAGAGGAACAGGATTGGCAGAAAGACAAGGAAAGGAAAGGGTGTTAAAACTGGATTTTTCTGCAAGAAACAGAAACAGAAAAAACAGAACATATATTAAGTGTATTCGATAAGAATACAGATGATTGGGCATCAATCACACCATGGCCTTTATGTCAAAACAATATTAATAAACATCAATGTTCTCTCCTCTCTTGCTCCCCTTCTCTTCCAGAGATGGAACATTCCAGTCTCTGGAGGCATGGACACATTTCCTGGCAGAGTGAAACCCAAACCATGAAGTCCATTTTAAACACTTGGTATTAGTTGGCACTGGAAAAGGTTGATGCTTTTAGACCTCATCAAGAGAGAGAAAGAGAGTGCATTCAGCTCTCTGTTGCCAGTGGAAGTTAGTGGTACTGTGGCCATCCCTGCTTCCCATAGGGAGATGCACATGGACAGCGGGTAATTGGAAAAGCAAAAAAGCATAGGGTCACTCTTGGCCACACAAAGAGCACAGAAAAGAACCAAAAGGAAAACAAAGAAAGAGCTAGCGAGATAAGAGCTGGGCCTGTATCTACAAAGAGTCTCAGAACGAATACGATTCTATGGACAGATACTAGAACAGCACTTCTATTCTGAGATGCTTTGTGGATACAGGCCCTGAGATCAGAGTATCTGTCTATCTGCTTCACTTTTGAAGTAGTCAAATGGGCCTCTCAGCCATGACAGTGACCTTGCAGGGAAGGTTTGTTTTGCTAAAAAGGCAGGCTGCTGTCCAAACGGTAGCTGTGAGGAGGTGTGTTCCTGTTGGCAGAGGTGCTGGGGTTTAATTGTGCCTGCGTTACAAGGACAAGGGAGCATGCTGAGTCAACGGGAGAGACCATTTAAGTTCACCATGAACCTAGAGTCAAGTGCCTCAATTGCTCATTTATTCCATATATACGTGTGTGTGTCTATATTAATGATGATGGGCTAATGCCGTACTCATCCCCACTTAAAGGCAAATAGAGAGGAAGAGATGAAGAGAAAGAGAGGGATGGGTAGTTTACTAGGAGCATCATGTTTCTTCCACTGTGCTTTTTCCCTCCCACTTGATCGCTTTTCCTCCCACTCCATATTGACATTAGCACTGTGAAACTACTTCGGCTGTAACACTGTTGCTTCAGTTTCTACTGCTTCAGTTTCACGCAGTAGAACATTTGTTTTTGCTCCTTCTTACTGTCATAAGCACAAGGGCAACGTATTTCACCTATCTACTATCAGAGCAAGTTGCCAAAATGAATAATGGTACAGGGAAGATCAATAAAGAAGGGGGCCAGAGTAATAATAATAATAATAATAATATGCCATTTAGCAGGCGCTTTAATCCAAAGCGACTTACAGTCATGTAAATATGCAATTTTTACGTATGGGTGGTCCCGGGGATCGAACCCACTACCCTGGCGTTACAAGCGCCATGCTCTACCAATTGAGCTACAGAGGACCACAATGGAGTAAATTCTTGTTATATAAATAAATCCATCAAAATGTAACATATCCTGATGCAACAGCAGGGAGAGAGATGGATAGTGGGTTTAAGTAGGTATATAAAGAGCATTTCAGTCTTACTCAACCAGTGTTAATTATTTATCAAGCCTAAGAACTACCGGTCTGAGACAGTTTTATCAGGAATGCCTCTCACATTAGAGGCAGGCAGAAACATAATGTGAGTTTGTGTGTGTATAAATTCAAGTAGGTCAGCCTGTAGTCTGCAAGTCTTTACTACATAAGAGTACAATTATTCTCAAAGTATGTGGAAGAAATCTGACCATAGATGGCTGCAAACACAACAGAAGACAAGACACACAGCTCAATGTGGGTTGACCCAACCAGGTTTTCTTCAACCAGTGTCCAAACTGTAATGATACTACAGACCTCCCTCCCTTCTTTGTTTTTATGTGTGTAGGAGCCTGTTTTCCACTTTCTTACCTTCACTTTGAGATGAAGGACAAAGCAGAGGAAGAGAGAAAGAGACGGCGGGCGTACAGTTCTGCCTGCACATCTGTCTTACTTCTCTCAAACCCCACAACATTCAAAGGAACACACAGGCCGCCCAAGTAGAAATGCAACCTCAGAAATAAACATTACCACACACAGAGGTGTGCTGATTTAGCCTGACAGGACATATGGACATCATATGTGCACATATCAACCATGCTCATGGGAAAGTAGGCCATTATAACATGAGACATGTAACTTAGGCCTGCTTAACAGTATTGATATGGTTGTGTCAGTATAATACAAACATTATGAAAACTCAATAGTGCTCTCCTCCCAATCTCTGTCTCTCTTTTTTTATTGATCACTCTGTAACATAAGAGCTGAGGTTACACCTCAGCAACTGAGGACTCAGTGCACGTTTAGGCTACTACTCAGACAGAACAGTGATCTTAGACTATAATGTAGCCAGATGCTGTACAGTTCATTCTAATAAGTAATCCCCAAAGATGATAAGTCTCCTAATCATGATGAGGAATTATTTAATAATTAATGTTATTATCGCGTCAGTAATTTTGTGTGGCATTCATATCTCAGCCCAGGCAAATATATGAGGGGGAGCTAAATCGTTCACCTCCAGTTCGACTGCAATGCAGTTGCGTCCCTCCATTTGTGAGGGGTGACTTCAAGTAACCTTGTAGTATACACGCACAAAAAAAAATACAACGTGACTGGTCTCTCGTTGCCTAATTTAAAACCCAGCGTTCCTCTGATCAAACTCGGACGCACCAGAGATGCAGAGTTCTGTTTGTGCTCAACATGTTGATTAGTGAGTGGATAACTGAGTGAGCTCCTCTGGTTACAGAAGAGTGAAAGCTGAGGTTGAGTAGCCTATTAGCTTGAGCTCACCATGCAGTGCAGACCTAAATATGATATGGATTGAATATCCTTGCAAACGCACATTCTATATGGGTATTAACAACATTGTAATCTTATTAGGCTGTATATAGTAGCCGCCAAAACAACAATTACGCACGCGCGCATTTAACCCCCCCCCCCCCCCCCCATTTCCCAAACAACCTAGCCAAAGCTCTACTACCTCTTCTCTTCTGCTCCCGTTCAGTAAGGGCGCTTCTCCGGTCTCGGTCACCGCAGGCATTCTTTCGTTCCTCACAAGCTAGTATTTGACCGTGAGCATCGGGATCTGTCCGAGACTCCCACGATCAGGGGGTCCAGTGTCCGGACCGCCCCGCATGACAACTCAAAACTCATGTCTGCATTCGATTCTCCGAAAGCAAACGTATTCGAGTATCAAGTATTCCTCTTGCCAGGTTATTAACGCACCTCCTAGCATTGCCCCAACGGCTTGATTCGATCCTGTCCTGCGATTCTTGTCACACGACGACCGCGGGACATGGCAAAAACCCGTATTTTCAGGTGTTGTTTCTCGGGTGTCCGTTAAGTCACCGTATGTTGGTTGATCGCTAATGTATAGCTGTAGCCTACTTATCTACAGTAACGCCAGGCTCCAATATGGACAATCGAGCAGGGATGAAAAAAATAGGAAATACTGTAAGTCAAAACCGAGACATCGCGTTATTATTTGGTAGGCTACCTCCTGACGATGCAGCTGTGGTCTGTCAAGTGCGATAGCACGTAAATAGATCCTCATCACACCATTCAAAAATTATGCTTGCCAGATCATTTCGTTCGCCACCCTCCTCGCGTTTGGTCATGTGTTTATCCTGTTTTCACCTGCACATTTCATCGTCGACGGTTAGAGCTGACGTCACCGAGTAAGGGACAAGCGCGCACCATCTTCTATTGCCTACATTTGAATTAGTTGCCGTGGCAATATAGTAATCTTACTCCCAATGTGCGTTCGGTGAGCAAATCCTGCTTCTTCATTGGAACAGTTTGATGAGCCTAGTACATCGCCCTTTTCGCCCATGTTTCACAATGAACTAGTTCCATGGGAAGGGTCTAGGGCAGAACCAAGAAAGTGGGGACCTTTCACTTTCCTTCTGAAAATGGCATGGCCCGCGCGCTTTGCCTCCACTTAGCAGTGGCTATATTTGTGCTCTATCAAATTTAAAATATGCACATTATGATTAGGCTAATAAATAAGTGTTAGTATACTGATGCATCTACAGACTTGCTATTATCAGTTTTTAAAATATATAAAAAAGGCACGCAGGAATGGACAATTAACCATAAGAAAAAAATGCAACAGCCAACAGCTAGTAAATGTAAGTGCATTTTCTTTATTTAGACATATGGAGACAAAAACAAAAAACACCCACAATATATCTATCCACAATTAACTTTCTCTCAGGCTTCTTCCAACTGGAGCCACCAACATTACTACATCAGGGGGACTCCATCTCTTTAAACCATCAATCAATTTCTGTTTAAGCTGTTCTGAAATTTCATCACTAAAAAAGGAATGCATTTTTGTACACAGCAACTGTTTGCTCAAAGGTCTTGGAAATAATGAGAACTTCCTGGAATAATGTTATGTTTTTGAATTCTACTTGTACTGGAAGCATTTTTGAAAATAAACCTAGTTTTAGCTACTGATATGCTAAAGAACAACAAATTTGGCAATAGAGGAATTACCATCACATAAATTAGGTGTGAACAGAGTGCATAAATTGACAGGATTACCCACAATGACTGCATTGTTGGGAGCTAGTAACATAAGCATTTTGCTGCACCGCTAGAACACCTGCTAAACTGTCTGCGCGACCAATAAACTGATTTGATTTAGGATTTTTTGTTCCAGTCTCTTTTCTCTGCCTGATCCATACACACCATCATACAAGAGACATACCCAGTCCTCATCTGTTTAAAAAATATCATCCATAATGATTTAATTGTGTAAATCACATTTTGTTCTTCATTAGTTTAGAAATTGCAAGGACAATCTTGGAAATGTTGACGCAAATCTTCATCTATTTTGTCATAATCCTTCATCACAAATTAAGACTTGTCTATGTTTGTTCTTCATTGTGAGAAGTGGAATGATAACCACAATTTTAAACCATGAAATAGCATACTTGATTTTTCTCCCCACAACAAGATACCCTCCACCCTCAATCCCATTTTATTTGTACTCTTAAACCCCCCCACACCCAATTCCTTCTCATTCTGGAATGAACAGCCATACCCCCGGGACTTAAATTCTGTTTTTTTCTTTCCCTGTAGGCCTTAGTTGATATCAGACACTGGATTTATACAGGCCCACCTTCAAGGGTGACCACTGATGAGCCTCCTAGCTTCTCTGCTAAGGTGCGCCGATCTTTGATGTCCTCCAAACCGTTAACTTGCCATTCATGCTTGATACCTAGAATTCAGCAAAGTGGTCAATGTGAGAAAACAACAAATGAAAGCACCCTAATCATCGTCACAGTGGTTGGATGGGCAGTATGAATTTTTTTCAACCTAGTAAGTTTCGCTCACCTGTGAATTTCTTCTTAATGGCATCCTTTGAGCTGGCGTAGATCATTTTGCTCTTCAGTGGGGCACCATCTGGGGCCCTGAGATACAAAGGGAACAGAAAATATTACAAAAATATTATGTCTTTATATCAGCTGTGTTGACTAGTTGTAATCAAATTAAATCAACTTAAACCAGTGCTTAAAAGTTGACACTCACCAGAAGATGAAGACTAGGTCCTCCTTCTTGGTCTCCTTGGTCTCGTAGGTGGCGTCATAGAGGGCGTAGCGGCAGTCATCTGCGGGCAGCATCTTGACAAAGTGCAGGTAGGGGTCTGCGATGGTGGTACCCACGTCACCGGTCAGAATCTCTTTACCTGCTTCAAGGACAATGTGCTTCTTGTCCTCGCTCAGACAGAACAGCACCGCCTTCTTCCTCTTCTTCTTCTCATCCTCGTTCGCCTGGGCCTTACGCACCTTCATCTCATTGAAGACTGTAATAACTTCATCGGTCACTGTCACCCCAGAGGCCTAAGAGGAGAAAAACTGTTTAATGCATCAAGTACCCAAGAGGTCAATGAATGAGATCTCTCAGCTTTGGTCTGCATGTTTGGACTGAGGTTTAAAACAGTTTGCGGTGCTTTAAACAGCTTGTTTTTCAGACCAAATGATTGCTGACATCTTCAGCCCTTCTGACTAATCATTAAGCAAACACTTAGTGGGCACACTGGGATAAGGATTTTGATAAGTCACTATATGCCATTGAACTGCTAATATGAGAATATCACACCTGCACTGTTCATAGCAGTTGACTTTACAGTGGCAGAAAACATTTGGATCAACTGTCAGTCAGGTCAGTCCTTGAATTATTGAAATAAAAGGCCGGATGGGGAGTGCCAAAAGTATTCTAATTGTTTCCTCAAATCGCAAAAGATATACCACAAGTCAAACAAACAAAAAACTCAGAGGGTTGTGTCAGAACAAAAGATACCTATTCATCATGAACAAGCAAACAGAGAAAGAAGTCAGAGTGCAGTTAGTGTTCCTGAAATCAATATCTTGGACAAACTGACAGTGAAACATACCCTATATTTTCACAATCATCCACTTACATTCCAAAACAATCTCTAAAAGAGCCAGGGCAAACTTTGCAAAGAGAATATTAATAATCTCTAGAAAATACATTTCAGTTGCATTTCCAGTGGAATGAAGATGTTTTGGCTGCTAAAAGCACACATTACTCAGCTAACTAGCTACAACGTTGTTATAACCAAGGTGGAGAAAAGACACTTCACTAAGACCATATGTAGGGTGTCCAATCAAAAACATTTTGACCAATGGATAAAATGTTAGTTGTGTAGATAATCCTCTAAGAAAACCAATGGTCCGGGGCGGCAGGTAGCGTAGTGGGTAAGAGCGTTGTGCCAGTAACCGAAAAGTCGCTGGTTCTAATCCCCGAGCCGACTAGGTGAAAAATCTGTCGATGTGCCCTTAAGCAAGGCACTTAACCCTAATTGCTCCTGTAAGTCGCTCTGGATAAGAGCGTCTGCTAAATGACTAAAATGTAAAATGTATAATCCGTTCAAAATGTATTTGAGATTTTACCCTTATAGGATGGTCAAAATTATGGCGACTAAATCAATGGAGGCCAGAGAAAAAAAGTGGTCATAAATCTGGAAAGAAAAGCATCGTGCTTGCTAGGCTGGATGCTGAGTGAGAATTAAGGCTACCTGACAGGTTTACCATTGAACTCATTATTTCTACTCAAATCCGGAGGTCATAAAACAATAGAAGTAAGATAGCTATCGATTAAGACATTTTAGTATACACTGTTCGCGAAGTTCCTGTTCTTTTTCGAAGACTTCTCACAAAAACAACCGTCTCTGAAATGTCAACGGAGCACTGTGCGTATCCCAAGCATTTTCTTTTCAAAGCCTTTTACATTTAATTCAGCTAAAGTCATGATAATTTTTCTATTTGCGACCAGCGGAAAATACTTGGGACGACCACAAAATGTAAAATCGTCAAACGTTTTGGCGATAAAGCTGCACGGCTGTGTCAGAGTTCGGTGCATATTATCGGATGTATTAGGTAACGAAATCCTTTTTTTATATGTTAATTATAATGTTAGAGAAAGACCCCACTGAACGATTCAGAACATGAAGAATTACATTTGTCTTGATAAAATGCATTTTATAACACAAGGAAGTGAAATGTCATCACTAAAGCTCGTTTTCAACCAGAGTGGGTGGACACCCTGGCATATGAACCAGGATGTCTACTAGCAAACAAACTGTGTTTGCATTTGCAATCGGAAGTTCTGGCACTTCCTCTTCTCTTCCCCAAAGCAGTGGTTACAGCACTTGGTCCATTCGCTCTTATGGTGGGTGTGCTGTAGCAGAAACCCATACTCTTTGAGTGTTAGAAATACACTGGCGTGCCGTTTTGTCAGCGCAAGTCAAAGGAGAGGGAATGCCATGGCTTTCTAGCTAGTTTGATGGAGCGGCTAACCCTTTCTCAATTATCATTCTCAACAATTATTGCCGAAATTGTTCAAGAAGTTAACATACGCAGTCAACAATAACGAATGCCATTGAACAAAGTCCATAGACATTTCATCTTCTAAGAACATTGCCAGGTAGCTTGCAAGCTTTGATGGCACACTTCCTTGTACTTGCAGTAAGGGTGGGGTCGGCTGGAACGGGAGGTAACGTTAGCTACCGGTACTAGCTAGCTGGCAGTAAATGTTAGGCTAACGCTTCATCGGCTATCTGACACTCGTCTGGCATGGTCTTGCTCAAACATAAAATTGTCACGTTAAAGCAATAACGGGTTACACTTCCAAGCAACACCAATGGTAGGTAACGTTCGTTTGCTAACAATTGTGCCATCTGAAGTCATCTATTTAGCTACGTATACTAACTAGTTAGCTAACTAATTTAGCCATCCGGTTAGCAAGAGGCCTAGTTAGCTTAGCTACTACTAGTGATACTATTAGGTCATGGTTGAGAGGAAATGCCGAGGGGCCAGGTGATACCCAAATTAACTCTGACCATGAATGACAAATGGTGGTTTAGTTAAATGCTAATTGTTGAAGCAGGTTAGACAGTTAACATTAGCTACGAAGCCAGCTGTGTTAGCTACCAAATGTGGGCTATTAGCTAGGTACGTTAGCTAACAAGGTGGCCAACGTTCATCGACTGTAAAACTGTGGTGGGGAAATAAATAACTTAATTTTATGATCAGCGGGCCAAGTAATTACCCCTCCTCAATACAGCTACTGTGGTTTGTATATTTAGGATAACTAAATTAGAGTTATAACCATAAAAGTAACGTTACCATGGTTGGGTCTTTCGTATATCAGCGTCTGAGTCGAAAATGAAATGTTCGTTCTTCTTGTTGAGCTCTACACTAGACGGGCGGACACCAATGCGGACACGCGCCTGACGGGCATCAGAACAAAGGGAGCAAGTGTCAACCAAAGGTATCATGGGAATTGTATTCCCCACACACCACACACACACACACACACACACACACACAATCACAGTATGCACTTGAACAACATCCAGTAGGCTAAACTACAGATCTAGACTGTAACACTTAATGTCCATATAGAATAGAATATAAGAACGTTATAGAAGAAAACTGAGCTTTATAGCTACGTCTCTAGGCTATATTAAGAACATATTTTTCTAAATGCCTAATGATCTATTTGGTGAAAAGAAAAGTTTGCGCGCATTAAATCAGCTTAAAAAAATTATGTCCACTCACTGGGCCTAATGAGTAGCTTGTCTCTTACAATCAATTCCCTGTATGCATTTTTGACAGACACAGGGACTGACGTGTCTCTCTCTCGGATACATCAGTCATTCATTCGCAATGAGCAGGTTGGCTAAACTCACTTCCAAATAAGGAAACGAACGGCAGTAGGGCCTATGCGCGCCTCGTGCACACCCTGCGGTTCGCGGCATCTATATCTCCATATAAGGCCATTAGGGCATTTCGTTCTAATCTAGACCAAGACAGATGAGTATTTGCTGTGCAATATAAATGACAGGCTCAAACCAGAGCAAAGCGAGTAAAAAAGAGGAATAGAGAGAGAGGGAGGATAAACTCTCATTTCTATTAGGTGAAATACCACAGTGTGCCATTACAGCAGCAAGAAAATGGCAACCAGTGAAGCACAAACACCCTTGTAAATACAACCCATATTTATTTTCCCTTTTGTACTTCAACTATTTGCCCATTGTTACACTATACATAGCCATAATATAACATAATATAACATTTGAAATGTCTTTATTTTAAAACTTTTGTGAGTGTAATGTTTACTGTTAATTTCGGATTGTTTATTTCACTTTTGTTTATTATCAATTTCACTTGCTTTGGCAATGTAAACATATGTTTCCCATGCCAATAACGCCTTTTTGAATTGAATTGAGAGAGAGAGAGAGAGAGTGAGAATGAGTGAGAAGGAGAGTTACTACGGGGAGGGGAGAGAGTGTATCTGCATCCTTATTTTCTTCTGATCATCTTGGCCAAAGTGTTCATTCGTTGTTTAATAGCAACACCAGCTTTTCCACACATCCATACATTGGACTTGTCTACTGAGTGAGATGAGCAAGACAATAGCTTTGTGACACATTTTCTGTGGATAAAAATGAAGGGATGATAATTATAGCTATATAACACAATACATTCTCTTAAATTCGCTGTGTTGATATATAATATTCTTCATGATAGGCCTTATCAGGCCTAATTTACCGGTAGACCTAGTGATGAGACCGCTATCAGAGACGGAAGAGGAAGTGAGACATCCCACTCCCTCCTTTTTTCTGGCTCGTATATACAGTCAATGAACTAAGTAGACCAGACCCAGCTGCTATTGCATTGGTAGGCTATATAGGAGAGCCACCCCTTAAGTAGACCGGAACTGTGACCATTTTTTCAATGGTAAACGGCCTGAGTAAGACATCTTTATTTATCTACCATCTTTGACACTATCACGCTTGCTTGCCACGACGTTACATTTTGTGCCAGTGCAGTCTCCGTAGACATCTAAACATGGCGGCGTCCTACAAACGAATGATGTAGCTTGTGTCCTGCTATGTTCTGATTGAAAACAATCCAAGGGTTCCATAAAATACTGACAGCAAGAATAATGGGATTTCAGTATTTGTTTAGCGGTAAAGCGGAGTGTTGGTCTAGTCTTGCACGTCATCGACTATCAAACGTTTTGCGATTGCGGAACCTCAGCGAAGTGACACCGAGAGAGATCTTCAGCCATCCATCACATACACCTTCACCATCGTCGACATGCACTGGCATAAGCAATGGCCACCTATACAGGCGTATAAGAGTAGCATACAGTTTGGGGAAAGAGGGTGTTATATGGGCAACAGATACGTTGTGTTTTGGTCTGTTATCAATCCCCTCAAGAGTGAACGCACAAAAACGGTACTTTCATGTTATGAAGAAACCGCACCAACAGGTACCTCTTTCCCGCCCTCTTTCTACATCGACAGCAGTTGCAAAAGACGTGATTCTGTTTGAGCACGACCGAACAAGGTTCTTTCGCCTCTTAGCAATCTTCTGTGGTGGTCAGTTTCTTTTCTGGACATACCTGGCCCATTTCGCCTTCACTGGTCTTCGAGACACTGGTGGAAGTGGTTCTGGTGGGAGACAGGTCTCCACTACTGGCTTGGCAGGACTTTGGAGTTTCGATATGAACCTGGGATCTAATACTTGGAGATATGGATTCACACTGGCATGCCTTGTTATTGGTATGTGTCAGAATTGAGTGTGCAGCATACTAGCGCCATTGTGAGTGGAGGCACCTATACCTGTGTGTGATTATATTAATACTTTTCTCTCTCCCTCTCTCTCTTAGGTGGAGGGATCATGGGACTTGGTGCTCTGTTCTGCCAGCGTTCTGTCAGCCAGGTGATTCTACATAAGGGGGGTGGGATGGTCACCGTGTCGACACAGTCACCCCTGGGATCAAACAAGGGACGGAGAATGACTGTACCCTTGTCACAAGTGGCCTGTTACGCCCACAGACAAGAGTCTCCCACTTTCATTCCCCTCAGGGTGAAAGGTCACAAGTTCTACTTTCTTTTGGACAGAGAAGGCACACTGAATAATCCCAAACTGTTTGATGTTACAGTTGGGGCATACCGACCATTCTAGGTGTGTTAAAATAACAGGCAGTGACTTGTCACCCATTGTCAATGCAACATTGTGTCAGTGCAAAGGGGTTGATTGGAATAAATTCAACAATCTGTTGGCTAAAGTTCTTAACATAAACCATTGATTATGTTTGCAAAATCATTTTGGCTTTTTGTTATTAATTTGACAAATAAGATATTGATATTAAAAACTGGATGTCAAAAAATAAAATGTTTCCAGTGCATTGAAGGGGACCATTTTCAACACTATTCACTACCTCCAAACCAAAAGTACAATTTTCAGTCAGTACTTTTACTCTGGGATTAAGATTGTTGTAACTGTCACTAAAATCTGCATCTGATAGTAGATGATCTTAGCAAAAAGGTGAGATGGGTCAGCACTAAAAAAAATATACAGTGCCTTGCAAAAGTATTCATCCCCCTTGGCGTTTTTCCTATTTTGTTGCATTACAACCTGTAATTTAAATGGATTTTTATTTGGATTTCATGTAATGGACATACAAAATAGTCCAAATTGGTGAAGTGAAATGAAAAAAATTACTTGTTTCAAAAAATTCGAACAAATAAATAACGGAAAAGTGGTGCGTGCATATGTATTCACCCCCTTTGATATGAAGCTCTTACATAAGATCTGGTGCAACCAATTACCTTCAGAAGTCACATAATTAGTTAAATAAAGTCCACCTGTGTGCAATCTAAGTGTCACATGATCTCAGTATATATACACCTGTTCTGAAAGGCCCCAGAGTCTGCAACACCACTAAGCAAGGGGCACCACCAAGCAAGCGGCACCATGAAGACCAAGGAGCTCTCCAAACAGGTCAGGGACAAAGTTGTGGAGAAGTACAGATCAGGGTTGGGTTATAAAAAAATATCAGAAACTTTGAACATCCCGCGGAGCACCGTTAAATCCATTATTAAAAAATGGAAAGAATATGGCACCACAACAAACCTGTCAAGAGTGGGCCGCCCACCAAAACTCACGGACCAGGCAAGGAGGGCATTAATCAGAGAGGAAACAAAGAGACCAAAGATAACCCTGAAGGAGCTGCAAAGCTCCACAGCGGAGATTGGAGTATCTGTCCATAGGACCACTTTAAGCCGTACACTCCACAGAGCTGGGCTTTACGGAAGAGTGGGCAGAAAAAAGCTGTTGCTTAACCTCTTAACAATCGGACCCTTTGTTTCAATTATCGCCTAAAATGACATACCCAAATCTAACTGCCTGAAGCAAGGATATGCATATTCTTGATAACATTTGAAAGGAAACACTTTGAAGTTTGTGGAAATGTGAAATTAATGGATGAGAATATAACACTAGATCTGGTAGAAGATAATACAAACAAAAAAACGTTTTTATATTGTTTGTTTTTTGTTCCATCATCTTTGAAATGCAAGAGAAAGTCCACAATATAATATTAAAGTTTAGGCGCAATTTACATTTTGGCCCCTAGATGTCAGCTGTGTGTGTGCAAAGTTTCAGATTGATCCAGTGAAGCATCGCAATACTGGACTATTTTGTATCAAGTCTGCCCAAATGTGCTGAATTGGTCAATTTATACATTTTCAGGTACATAACTATAGAGAACATACAAAAATGTTATGGTAATACAAAATGTAAGTTTACACACTCGCAGGAATGTCATACATGATGGATCATTAGCTTATACACTAACTTTCACACATCTAGATGGCCGGGCAGGGTGGGTGTGGAGCCAGAGACAGCAGGGGTTCAAACTGTAGAACCCAGTTCCTACATTTGAATATAAAAATAGATTTTTTATCAAACAAAACTATGCTACATTTTATCTCTGGGACCCTTAGGATGACAAATCAGAACAAGATTACTGAATGTAAGTACATTATTTACCTTCAGACGTGAACGTATCAAACCAGTTGCCGTGCTAAGTTTTTTGTTGTTGTGCACTCTCCTCAAACAATTACATGGTATTTTTTCACTGTAATAGCTACTGTAAATTGGACAGTGCCGTTAGATTAACAAGAATTTAAGCTTTCTGCCCATATACAGTATCTCACAAAAGTGAGTACACCCCTCACATTTTTGTAAATATTTGAGTATATTTTTTCATGTGACAACACTGAAGAAATGACACTTTGCTACAATGTAAAGTAGTGAGTGTACAGCTTGTATAATAGTGTACATTTGCTGTCCCCTCAAAATAACTCAACACACAGCCATTGATGTCTAAACCGCTGGCAACAAAAGTGAGTACACCCCTAAGTGAAAATGACAAAATGTTTAGACATTAATGGCTGTGTGTTGTGTTATTTTGAAGGGACAGCAAATTTACACTGTTATACAAGCTGTACACACTACTTTACATTGTAGCAAAGTGTCATTTCTTCAGTGTTGTCACATGAAAAGATATACTCAAATATTTACAAAAATGTGAGGGGTGTACTCACTTTTGTGAGATACTGTAAGACATGTCTATGTCCTGGAAAGTTTGCTGTTACTTACAACAGTCATGCTAATCACATTAGCGAACATTAGCTCAACTGTCCCGTATACGGGACACCGATCCCATAGAGGTTAAAGAAAAAAATAAACAAACACGTTTGGTGTTCGCTAAAAGCCATGTGGGAGACTCCCCAAACATATGGAAGAAGGTACTCTGGTCAGATGAGACTAGAATTGAGCTTTTTGGCCATCAATGAAAACGCTATGTCTGAAGGATTACTTTATCCTATCCCAGGTATTCCTTAAAGAGGTGGGGTTTCAAATGTCTCCGGAAGGTGGTGAGTGACTCCGCTGTCCTGGCGTCGTGAGGGAGCTTGTTCCACCATTGGGGTGCCAGAGCAGCGAACAGTTTTGACTGGGCTGAGCGGGAACTATGCTTCCGCAGAGATAGGGGAGCCAGCAGGCCAGAGGTGGATGAACGCAGTGCCCTCGTTTGGGTGTAGGGACTGATCAGAGCCTGAAGGTACGGAGGTGCCGTTCCCCTCACAGCTCCGTAGGCAAGCACCATGTTCTTGTAGCAGATGCGAGCTTCAACTGGAAGCCAGTGGAGTGTGCGGAGGAGTGGGGTGACTTGAGAGAACTTGGGAAGGTTGAACACCAGACGGGCTGCGGCATTCTGGATGAGTTGTAGGGGTTTAATGGCACAGGCAGGGAGCCCAGCCAACAGCGAGTTGCAGTAATCCAGACGGGAGATGACAAGTGCCTGGATTAGGACCTGTGCCGCTTCCTGTGTAAGGCAGGGTCGTACTCTCCGAATGTTGTAGAGCATGAACCTACAGGATCGGGTCACCGCCTTGATGTTAGCGGAGAACGACAGGGTGTTGTCCAGGGTCACGCCAAGGCTCTTCGCACTCTGGGAGGAGGACACAACGGAGTTGTCAACCGTGATGGCGAGATCATGGAATGGGCAGTCCTTCCCCGGGAGGAAGAGCAGCTCCGTCTTGCCGAGGTTCAGCTTGAGGTGGTGATCCGTCATCCATACTGATATGTCTGCCAGACATGCAGAGATGCGATTCAACACCTGGTTATCAGAAGGGGGAAAGGAGAAGATTAGTTGTGTGTCGTCAGCGTAGCAATGATAGGAGAGGCCATGTGAGGATATGACAGAGCCAAGTGACTTGGTGTATAGCGAGAATAGGAGAGGGCCTAGAACTGAGCCCTGGGGGACACCAGTGGTGAGAGCACGTGGTGCGGAGACAGCTTCTCGCCACGCCACTTGGTAGGAGCGACCGGTCAGGTAGGACGCAATCCAAGAGTGAGCCGCGCCGGAGATGCCCAGCTCGGAGAGGGTGGAGAGGAGGATCTGATGGTTCACAGTATCAAAGGCAGCAGACAGGTCTAGAAGGACAAGAGCAGAGGAGAGAGAGTTAGCTTTAGCAGTGCGGAGAGCCTCTGTGACACAGAGAAGAGCAGTCTCAGTTGAATGACCAGTCTTGAAACCTGACTGGTTTGGATCAAGAAGGTAATTCTGAGAGAGATAGCAAGAGAGTTGGCTAAAGACGGCACGCTCAATAGTTTTGGAGAGAAAAGAAAGAAGGGATACTGGTCTGTAGTTGTTGACATCAGAGGGATCAAGTGTTGGTTTTTTGAGAAGGGGTGCAACTCTCGCTCTCTTGAAGACGGAAGGGACATAGCCAGCGGTCAAGGATGAGTTGATCAGCGAGGTGAGGTAAGGGAGAAGGTCACCGGAGATGGTCTGGAGAAGAGAGGAGGGGATAGGGTCAAGCGGGCAGGTTGTTGGGCGGCCTGCCATCACAAGTCGCAAGATTTTATCTGGAGAGAGAGGGGAGAAAGAAGTCAAATAGGGTAGGGCAGTGTGAGCAGGACCAGCAGTGTCATTTGACTTAACAAACGAGGATCGGATGTCGTCAACCTTCTTTTCAAAATGGTTGACGAAGTCATCCACAGAGAGGGAGGAGGGAGGGGGAGGGGGGGGGGGGGGGGGGGGGATTCAGCAGGGAGGATAGCAGCAGAAACAGATGAATAAAATGTAGAGAGGAGGGAGTGAAAAGATGCCAGGTCTGCAGGGAGTCTAGTTTTCTTCCATTTCCGCTCAGCTGCCCGGAGCTCTGTTCTGTGAGCTTTCAATGAGTCATCAAGCCACAGAGCTGGAGGGGAGGACCGAGCCGGCCGGGAGGATAGGGGACATAGAGAGTCAAAGGATGCAGAAAGGGAGGAGAGGAGGGTTGAGGAGGCAGAATCAGGAGATTGGAGGGAGAAGGATTGAGCAGAGGGAAGAGATGATAGGATGGAAGAGGAGAGAGTAGCGGGAGAGAGAGAGCGAAGGTTGCGACGGCGCATTACCATCTGTGTAGGGGCAGAGTGAGTAGTGTTGGAGGAGAGGGAGAGAGAAAAGGATACAAAGTAGTGGTCGGAGACTTGGAGGGGAGTTGCAGTGAGATTAGTAGAAGAACAGCATCTAGTAAAGATGAGGTCAAGCGTATTGCCTGCCTTGTGAGTAGGGGGGGACGGTGAGAGGGTGAGGTCAAAAGAGGAGAGGAGTGGAAAGAAGGAGGCAGAGAGAAATGAGTCAAATGTAGACGTAGGGAGGTTGAAATCCCCCAGAACTGTGAGGGGTGAGCCATCCTCAGGAAAGGAACTTATCAAGGCGTCAAGCTCATTGATGAACTCTCCAAGGGAACCTGGAGGGCGATAGATGACAAGGATATTAAGCTTAAATGGGCTAGTGACTGTGACAGCATGGAATTCAAATGAGGAGACAGACAGATGGGTCAGGGGAAAAATTGAGAATGTCCACTTGGGAGAGATGAGGATTCCTGTGCCACCACCCCGCTGACCAGATGCTCTCGGGGTATGCGAGAACACATGGTCAGACGAGGAGAGAGCAGCAGGAGTAGCAGTGTTTTCAGTGGTAATCCATGTTTCTGTCAGCGCCAAGAAGTCGAGGGACTGGAGGGTAGCATAGGCTGGGATGAAGTCTGCCTTGTTGGCAGCAGAACGGCAGTTCCAGAGGCTGCCTGAGACCTGGAACTCCACGTGGGTCGTGCGTGCAGGGACCACCAGGTTAGAGAGGCAGCAGCCACGCGGTGTGAGGCGTTTGTGTAGCCTGTGCGGAGAGGAGAGAACAGGGATAGGCAGAGGCATAGTTGACAGGCTGCAGCAGATGGCTACAATAATGCAGAGGAGATCGGAATAAAATGAACTAAACATCTGGGAAAGGAGAGAGGGGCCTCCCTCACCACAACTCCCAAATATAACTCTCCCAACTTCCACCTCAGAAACTATAATTGTTGTAAACTACAGCGGTTCAATGTTTTCTAGGAATAGACTAACCTAGTTTATTCAGCTAGCTAACTAGGTGCAGTATTATTGGTATGGTATGACTTAAAGATTGCTGTACACCAGCGGAACCCATCCAACTTGAAGGAGCTGGAGCAGTTTTGCCTTGAAGAATGGGCAAAAATCCCAGTGGCTAGTTTATAGAGACATACCCTAAGAGACTTGCAGCTGCAATTGCTGCAAAAGGTGGCTCTACAATACAGTATTGACTTTGAGGGGTTGAATAGTTGTGCACGCTCAAGTTTTCTGTTATTTTGTCTTATTTCTTGTTTGTTTCACACCCAAAATGTTTTTGCATCTTCAAAGTGGTAGGCATGTTGTGTAAATCAAATGATACAACCCCCCCCCCCCCCAAAAAAAACAACAATTTTAATACCAGGTTGTAATGCAACAAAATAGGAAAAATGCCAAGGGGGGTGTATACTTTCGCAAGCCACTGTATTGCATACCTACCTGGCGGCAGGTAGCTTAGTGGTTAAGAGCGTTGTGCCAGTAACCGAAAGGTCGCTGGTTCTAATCCCCGAGCCGACTAGGTGAAAAATCTGTCTATGTCCTTGAGCAAGGCACTTAACCCTAATTGCTCCTGTAAATCACTCTGGATAAGAGCGTCTGCTAAATGACAAAAAAAACGGTTAAATGTAAATAAAGCTTATTTCATTTTATTTGTTTTACTGCATCAGGGATAGCATACACATACGTTTCAGCTTTGCAGCCTTATTCAGTGTGTAGGTAGATTATCTTAAAAGGCATTCATATATGACTTGGTTATGAATTTGAATTCAAGATTAGTTTGAGATAACATGAGATAATCTCTCCTGGTTCAGTTCCCCACATACCCCCTCATTGAGACCGGGTGGAGTTACTGTAGTTCCCCCCCTTTTGAGTGCAATCTCCCCTACACATCGTTTACTCCACTTCTGACAGCTGTCACTGAACATACTGACTGATCAACAAATAATAATGAGTAGTTATTTATGATGCAAGGTCATTTGTAGATCAGTCAGTCCGCAGTCACCTGCAGTGTCGGCTGCAATGTTGAACAAGCCCAATAACTTGCATGTATAGGCCTAGACCTTGCTCCTGAACTTGATCCTGGATCAATAATGAATGCCTCCTCCATCCACTTCATCCTATGAAAGTCTTATAACTGTGAGACTGGGAGGTGGGTTTTTCAAAACATCACCATCAGACATTATTGTTTCTAATCTACCCAAATAGGGGTAATGTAAAAACAACAACAAGCTGTTACAGATCATTATTGTCATCTTTTAATCAAAACAGGATAAAAACATGAGGGTTTTCACAATTACTATAACGTTTTGTACAATTCGGTGTTTAAGTCTTACAAATATATGACATGCTATAAGGGGCACAGACACGACTTAGAAAAGGCTAACCAGCTCAAAGGATAGGATAGATAATGCTTTGATATTCAGAGTGAAAAGTGTTATTGAATGAATGAAGGGGAAATAAACAATATTAGTGTAAAGAACAATACGACAAAACTGAAAGGAAAATGGAACATGTGCCATGCAATCTAATAAAATAGAATTGAAGAATACAAATTCCCATCAACAGTCAATATAAAACAGTTCGACATAAAACATTCCCGTGTCGGATGTTGCTTATTTCAGCACCAAGGTCAGCTCCCGTCATATTGAATGCGCGATAAGAACATGTCCTGTGATATGTTGCTAGAAATCTATAACATAGCATAAAAACGACACGTTCCCCTTTATTGTGACCTGATATGAGATTAACAACATCTTTTATATTTGATAGAAGAAGTTTGTTGATTTCCTCTCATTCATTGGGGGAACAGACTAGAAGAGGATCTGGACTACCGATGCTCCCAGCGCTGGAACTTCCGTCTCCAAAGTCCCGGGCCACAAAATACTGTAAACTCAACTCGGACGACCCGCCAGGACTGGAATCACCTCTGCTGACACAACCCTCCTCCAGAACAACACACAGTTCCTTGAGATCAAAATTCTCCTTTACCAATCCATCTTGCACTCGTTCCAAATCAGCCAGTTTCTTCAGATGTCCACCCAAGTCATCGCGCATCACTTTGGCGGCGTGGTGTCCAAAAAGTTGCCACTCTCGCGAAAGCGTTTTTATTTTCATTCTGTCATCATCCAGGAAACTACATAGTTCTCGCAGTTCTTGGTTCTCTTCCTGAAGCCTATTATTGACTACTTTGAGTTCCCTGATTTCGAGTAAATGCTCCTGCAGTTGTTTATTAACATCTTTAATTAAACGTCCTCGCTGTATAAGGGCTGTCATCTTGTTGGCCTCCTCTTTGCGTAACCGGGCCACAATATCTTTTTTGGAGAATGATAACAAGTCCTCGTCGGACATTTTAGAGAGCTCTCGGCTGTCAATCTCGCTGTTGCTGCACATTTTGTGTCATTTACTGTAGGCTTGGCGTCATGCGAGTGCGGCTCAATGACTGGAAATTTCAGTGGGAAATATGCCAATTTGCAAAATAATTCATAAAATAGGTCATGGAATGCTTACAAGATGATGATTTAAATTGTGACGCCCTGATCCTCAACGCTACGGAGGATGTATCTTGCAAAACAAGCCTTTGCCCACATTGTCTCTGTCATTGTCATTTTCACGATACGAAGTGAAACGAGCGTTTAATGTAGCGTTTTATGCGGTTTGTATCGATGCCTCTTCTAAAGCGCGGAATAAAATTGCTCTTAAAAATGGCCAGTTAAGAAGAAGACCATAATTCGTCACCACTAATGTTGATGTAAAAATACACTGTATTTTCTCACTTTCGCCAGGGTGGCGCTCAAGTCCAGTCCACAGAAAGATAAACGCGCACTAATATTTGGACAGAGGGAAAAAATGTGCATACAGATTTGTGGAACACAAGACAATGCCCAGGTCAAGTAATCTAAGAAATATATCCGTACTCAGAGAGAGTTTAGATTCGGCAAATATAATGGCACAACTATAAATATTGACCTAGACCATCATATTAGCCTACTACCTTAACTCCCATGCAGCAGACACGCCCATCTTCAACTGTTTCCATAGGAACGTTGCTGATTTCAACACCATGGATAGCCCCAGATTTGTGCTAATTTCAGAACCATGGACCGTTCCATCATTTTGTCCGTTTCACGACCATGGGCAGTGCTCGTCATATTGCGTGCGATAAAGACTTTCCTTCAAAGAACTTGGCCAGTGATATTTTGCTAGAAAACGGTCAATTAAAAAAATATATATATAACGGAAAAAATATATTTATCCACTGCAGTAGATGGCAGTAAAGTGCCTTGTATGAAATGTGCTATTCTCTAGAGATATCCAGCAAAGAGAAACAAAGTTGCGCTTTCTGTTGTGGATTTTGAGAGGAGCCACAATTTACTTGTCAGCGACACCTTTGGACATCTGTCGTTTCGCTTTTATTTTACAATAAGGATAGTGTTTCTACGCAGTGTTTAGTGTTCTTTTGAATGCAGGTCTATGCAAATTTGATACGCTGTTTTTACTCTAATTCTATGCAGAACCCGACGTTTTAACTGCGCAATAAATAATACGCGTTCGCAGATGCTGTTTACCCAAACGGTCCCCTCGACTTGACAGATACATAACACTAGTTAAAGGTAAAGTAGCATTATTTTTTATTCCTAATGTGGCTATGTTACATAATGGCACAATCTAGTGACCCAGTGTGTCGTCGTGGTGTGACTACCCTTTTAAATGGGTAATCGATCCCTGACTGTTAATGCCAGCTTCACCTAGAAACAGGACCCTCAGTGGATCAACTTTGCAGTCTAGCAATAGTGAATGCCTCTGTAAGGCATAATGTATGTAAATATATATATATATTTTCAAATGTTTTTTATTGTCACATACAGTCAAATGTGTTGTTTTACATGGTCAGCCATAGTTGTATGGCACCCCAGGAGCAAATTAGGGTTAAGTGTCTTGCTCAAGGGCACATCGACAGATTTTTCACCTTGTCGGCTCGGGTATTCAAACCAGCCACCTTTTGGTGACTGGCCCAACGCTCTAACCGCTAGGCTACCTACTGCTCTATAGATATAAATAGGCTACCAAGATCATTCTGATTGTGTGTAGACTACTCTTTTTAACTATAGTCTTTCTTAAATTAACTCTCTGCAGTCTTTTTAATTCCTCATTAGCCTACAAGATGTCTATGGAACTGGATGTGTTTGTGGGGAACACAACTATCATGGATATGGACGTCTATCAGCTTTGGTTGGATGGCCTCACAGGTTTGTCTCTATCCTATTTTGTTGAGACTTTGGAATGACATAGTTGTGGTGACACTGCACTGTGTGACAGAGGAATGTATTGATTTTGCTGTATGAATATTACCTATTTGTTTTGAAATCACACATGCCTACACAATAGAATGTCAATGACCAGACCGTGACATCATTTACATTGTCTCTCTCCCATCTCTGCCTTGCTCTCCCTCACAGTGAGTGATGCAGTGAAGGTGCGGATGGATGAGGGGGCATTACTGGAGTGTGAGGCGAATGCAGAGGTCCTGACCAGCGATACCATGGACCAATTTAGAACCTTCCAGATGTGTGAGCGTCTCTTACACTCCCCCACCAAAGTGGGCAGTCAGCTGCTGTATCAGATCCCGGCCCAGCACCAGAGAATACTCATTGAAAGGTGTGAGTTCAATTCTATAAATTGTTATTGTTCCCAAAGCCAAGGGCAATTTGTGTGCAAACATAGAAATAGACATAGGACCAGTGGCGGTTGGTGCCGTTCAAGATTAGGGAGCATGGCCATATTTTTTTTAATGAGCATGGCCATATTTCTATTACAGCATGTTGGATGACTGTCATTAATTTATCATTCACCCAGCTCAATGTAAGTAACATTGCTAGGTTCAGGCTACTACATGATACTCAAATTTTCCCTATACCCATCATGAAGTTGCCCCAACCTAGCCTACAAAGGAAAGTTTATCACATACAGTGGGGGAAAAAAGTATTTAGTCAGCCACCAATTGTGCAAGTTCTCTCACTTAAAAAGATGAGAGAGGCCTGTAATTTTCATCATAGGTACACGTCAACTATGACAGACAAACTGAGAAAAGAAAATCCAGAAAATCACATTGTAGGATTTTTAATGAATTTATTTGCAAATTATGGTGGAAAATAAGTATTTGGTCACCTACAAACAAGCAAGATTTCTGGCTCTCACAGACCTGTAACTTCTTCTTTAAGAGAAGTTGTATTAATGGCACCTGTTTGAACTTGTTATCAGTATAAAAGACACCTGTCCACAACCTCAAACAGTCACACTCCAAACTCCACTATGGCCAAGACCAAAGAGCTGTCAAAGGACACCAGAAACAAAATTGTAGACCTGCACCAGGCTGGGAAGACTGAATCTGCAATAGCTAAGCAGCTTGGTTTGAAGAAATCAACTGTGGGAGCAATTATTAGGAAATGGAAGACATACAAGACCACTGATAATCTCCCTCGATCTGGGGCTCCACGCAAGATCTCACCCCGTGGGGTCAAAATGATCACAAGAACGGTGAGCAAAAATCCCAGAACCACACGGGGGGACCTAGTGAATGACCTGCAGAGAGCTGGGACCAAAGTAACAAAGCCTACCATCAGTAACACACTACGCCGCCAGGGACTCAAATCCTGCAGTGCCAGACGTGTCCCCCTGCTTAAGCCAGTACATGTCCAGGCCCGTCTGAAGTTTGCTAGAGTGCATTTGGATGATCCAGAAGAGGATTGGGAGAATGTCATATGGTCAGATGAAACCAAAATATAACTTTTTGGTAAAAACTCAACTCGTCGTGTTTGGAGGACAAAGAATGCTGAGTTGCATCCAAAGAACACCATACCTACTGTGAAGCATGGGGGTGGAAACATCATGCTTTGGGGCTGTTTTTCTGCAAAGGGACCAGGACGACTGATCCGTGTAAAGGAAAGAATGAATGGGGCCATGTATCGTGAGATTTTGAGTGAAAACCTCCTTCCATCAGCAAGGGCATTGAAGATGAAATGTGGCTGGGTCTTTCAGCATGACAATGATCCCAAACACACCGCCCGGGCAACGAAGGAGTGGCTTCGTAAGAAGCATTTCAAGGTCCTGGAGTGGCCTAGCCAGTCTCCAGATCTCAATCCCATAGAAAATCTTTGGAGGGAGTTGAAAGTCTGTGTTGCCCAGCGACAGCCCCAAAACATCACTGCTCTAGAGGAGATCTGCATGGAGGAATGGGCCAAAATACCAGCAACAGTGTGTGAAAACCTTGTGAAGACGTACAGAAAACGTTTGACCTATGTCATTGCCAACAAAGGGTATATAACAAAGTATTGAGAAACTTTTGTTATTGACCAAATACTTATTTTCCACCATAATTTGCAAATAAATTCATTAAAAATCCTACAATGTGATTTTCTGGAATTTTTTTCCTCATTTTGTCTGTCATAGTTGACGTGTACCTATGATGAAAATTACAGGCCTCTCTCATGTTTTTAAGTGGGAGAACTTGCACAATTGGTGGCTGACTAAATACTATTTTCCCCCACTGTAGGTGCACAGGTCGAGAGACACATAGAGTAATCAAGGTGACAGACAGTGACACATTCAATACTGCCTTGCACACTCTTGCCTGCTTCTAGCTGATCTGGGGTATAATCATTAGTCCAAATTCAGGTAGTTCCCTCCCAGTTTCGTTATGTTTGCTTCCATTTAAGGCACGTTTTGCAACTGAATCGGCGGACTAAATACACCCCTGATCACCCGCACACACAGTTAACTTTCAAAGCAACCACATACTGCATCATCACTTTGCTCAATGTATAATTCCTTCTCAAATCTACGTGCTCTCCTCCTCTCACCTTTTCCCTACGCTTGTGGACTTCAAGGCACAACACAACAGCTGTCTGTGACCAGGCGCAGAAACCTCTCCAAGCCAAACCTTCATACCATGTCCGCTAAAAGATACACAGCCTACATCGTTATCACCACATTAACGTTATAGTCAACAAATTAGAACTAACACATGAGTTAATCCACAATCCAATCCATGTGTACAATCACGCAGTACAGTGTAATGTTACAGCAAGCAGTTTAGTAGTTACACTGGTGGCCCCCGTTGGCAATAAATTAATAAAACCGAAAGCTTACCTTGATTGGAAGAGTTGCAGTGTTGGATATCCTAATCCAGCTAGCTAACATAAATAGCATTCCTCTCTGTCTGAGTCAGGTTGTTGAGTAGGCTAAATTAGCTGCATTAGCTAAGGAAGTGAAAGATAAACGAAGAAGAAGAAAATAATACTACGAAATATAGCTACAGTATATCTCTCCCTCGCTCTCTTTCTTTCTTTCTCTCTCTCTATCTCTCGCTCGCTCACTCTCTTTCTCTTCTGCTTGTCCTTCATTTGTTAAGAAATTAATTTGTTCAAAACTGTTCAGCTATTGTATTTCTCTCTCTTTGAGTCAACTACTCACCACATTTTATGCACTGCAGTGCTAGCTAGCTGTAGCTTATGCTTTCAGTACTAGATTAATTCTCTGATTCTTTGATTGGATGGACAACATGTCAGTTCATACTGCAAGAGCTCTGATAGGTTTGAGGACATCCTCTGGATGTCATCATACACTATATATACAAAGATATGTGAACACCCCTTCAAATTAGTGGATTCAGCTAGTTCAGCCACACTGACAGGTGTATAAAATCGAGCACACAGCCATGCAATCTCCATAGTAAAACATTGGCAGTAGTAGTAGTACTGAAGAGCTCAGTGACTTTCAGCGTGGCTCCGTCATAAGATGCCACCTTTCCAACAAGTCAGTTCGTCAAATTTCTGCCCTGCTAGAGCTGCCCCGGTCAACTGTAAGTGCTGTTATTGTGAAGTGGAAATGTCTAGGAGCAACAACAGCTCAGCCACGAAGTGGTAGGCCACACAAGCTCACAGAACAGGACCGCCAAGTGCTGAAGCGTGTAAAAATCATCGGTCCTCGGTTGCAACACTCACTACAGAGTTCCAAACTGCCTCTGCAAGCAACGTCAGCACAATAACTGTTTGTCAGGAGTGTCATGAAATGGGTTTCCATGGCCGAGCAGCCGCACACAAGCCTAAGATCACCATGTGCAATGCCAACTGTCTGCTGGAGTGGTGTAAAACCCGCCGCCATTGGACTGTGGAGCAGTGGAAACGCGTTCTCTGGAGTGATGAATCACGCTTCACTATCTGGAAATCTGACGGACTAATCTGGGTTTGGCGGATGCCAGCAGAACGCTACCTGCCCGAATGCATAGTGCCAACTGTAAAGTTTGGTGGAGGAGGAATAAGGGTCTGGGGCTGTTTTTCATGGTTCAGGCTAGGCCCCTTAGTTCCAGTGAAGGGAAATCTTAATGCTACAGCATACAATGACATTCTAGACGATTCTGTGCTTCCAACTTTGTGCTTCCAACAGTTTGGGGAAGGCCCTTTCCTGTTTCAGCATGACAATGCCCCTGTGCACAAAGCGATGTCCATACAGAAATGGTTTGTTGAGATCGGTGTGGAAGAACTTGACTGGCCTGCACAGAGCCCTGACCTCAACCCCATCAAACACCTTTGGGATGAATTGGAACATCAACCACAAGCCAGGCCTAATCGCCCAACATCAGTGTCCGACCTCACTAAATGGAAGCAAGTCCCTGCAGCAATGTTCCAACATCTAGTGGAAGGCCTTCCCAGAAGAGTGGAGGCTGTTATAGCAGTAAAGGGGGGACCAACTCTATATTAATGCCCATGATTTTGGATGTTGTTCGACGAGCAGGTGTCCACAGACTTTTGATCATGTAGTGTAATTACTGTGTAAGTCTATGGAGGTATGGAAGGGGGTGAGAACCATGAGCTTCCTAGGGTTTGTATTGAAGTCAATGTACCCAGAGGAGGAAGGAAACTAGCTGTCCTCCGGCTACACCATGGTGCTACCCCAGAGAGTGCTGTTGAGGCTACTGTAGACCTTCATTGCAAAACAGTGTGTTTTAATCAGTTATTTGGTGATAAGTGTGAATATACACTGCTCAAAAAAATAAAGGGAACACTAAAATAACACATCCTAGATCTGAATGAATGAAATAATCTTGTTAAATACTTTTTTCTTTACATAGTTGAATGTGCTGACAACAAAATCACACAAAAATGATCAATGGAAATCAAATTGATCAACCCATGGAGGTCTGGATTTGGAGTCACCCTCAAAATTAAAGTGGAAAACCACACTACAGGCTGATCCAACTTTGATGTAATGTCCTTAAAACAAGTCAAAATGAGGCTCAGTAGTGTGTGTGTCCTCCACGTGCCTGTATGACCTCCCTACAACGCCTGGGCATGCTCCTGATGAGTTGGCGGATGGTCTCCTGAGGGATCTCCTCCCAGACCTGGACTAAAGCATCCGCCAACTCCTGGACAGTCTGTGGTGCAACGTGGTGTTGGTGGATGGAGTGAGACATGATGTCCCAGATGTGTTCAATTGGATTCAGGTCTGGGGAACGGGCGGGCCAGTCCATAGCATCAATGCCTTCCTCTTGCAGGAACTGCTGACACACTCCAGCCACATGAGGTCTAGCATTGTCTTGCATTAGGAGGAACCCAGGGCCAACCGCACCAGCATATGGTCTCACAAGGGGTCTGAGGATCTCATCTCGGTACCTAATGGCAGTCAGGCTACCTCTGGCGAGCACATGGAGGGCTGTGCGGCCCCCCAAAGAAATGCCACCCCACACCATGACTGACCCACCGCCAAACCGGTCATGCTGGAGGATGTTGCAGGCAGCAGAACGTTCTCCACAGCGTCTCCAGACTCTGTCACGTCTGTCACATGTGATCAGTGTGAACCTGCTTTCATCTGTGAAGAGCACAGGGCGCCAGTGGCGAATTTGCCAATCTTGGTGTTCTCTGGCAAATGCCAAACATCCTGCACGGTGTTGGGCTGTAAGCACAACCTCCACCTGTGGACGTCAGGCCCTCATACCACCCTCATGGAGTCTGTTTCTGACCGTTTGAGCAGACACATGCACATTTGTGGCCTGCTGGAGGTCATTTTGCAGGGCTCTGGCAGTGCTCCTCCTCCTTGCACAAAGGCGGAGGTAGCAGTCCTGCTGCTGGGTTGTTGCCCTCCTACGGCCTCCTCCACGTCTCCTGATGTACTGGCCTGTCTCCTGGTAGCGCCTCCATGCTCTGGACACTACGCTGACAGACACAGCAAACCTTCTTGCCACAGCTCGCATTGATGTGCCATCCTGGATGAGCTGCACTACCTGAGCCACTTGTGTGGGTTGTAGACTCCGTCTCATGCTACCACTAGAGTGAAAGCACCGCCAGCATTCAAAAGTGACCAAAACATCAGCCAGGAAGCATAGGAACTGAGAAGTGGTCTGTGGTCACCACCTGCAAAACCAGTCCTTTATTGGGGGTGTCTTGCTAATTGCCTATAATTTCCACCTGTTGTCTATTCCATTTGCACAACAGCATGTGAAATGTATTGTCAATCAGTGTTGCTTCCTAAGTGGACAGTTTGATTTCACAGAAGTGTGATTGACTTGGAGTTACATTGTGTTGTTTAAGTGTTCCCTTAATTTTTTTGAGCAGTGTATTTAGTATAGTTTTATCTAAAAAGGATAACTTTTTAAATGTTTCTCAATTTTTATTTTAATGAAATTCACTTAGTACAATGGTTCCCCCTTCCTCCTCTGAGGAGCTTCCACTGCTCAGGACCACATGCAAATACAACTACTGTGTGTGCATGCATGCGTGCGTGCACGTGGGAGTGCGTGTGTGTATGTATTAGCCCTTCCTCCCCATGTTTTAGAGCTGTTGATGGAGGAGAGTTAACCAGTGTGTTGTTGTTTTCTGCAGGTACTATGAATTTGACAGTGTGTTTGCCAGAGAGGTGCTGGGGAAAAAGCTCTCCAAAGGGACCAAAAAGGACCTGGATGACATCAGCTGTAAAACAGGGATCACACTGAAGAGCTGCAGGAGACAGGTGAGACTAACACAAACACCACACTCACTGAGAAGAGGCTACATTACTGTAGCGCGACTCCTGACTGTATTAACACAGAACTCCCAGCTTGAGAAGAACCTGTCACTCAAGAGCAGCTTAAATGCAGAAGGACAGGCCAGGACCTTAGCTGGACAGCACTGCTCTGTAATTTAATTACCTGTCCAGTTTAAGCACTGTCATGCAGTGGGATTTGCCTGCCAGCCGTGGGGATTTTATAGTGAGGTCATGATCAGAAATACAAAAGCCTTCGGATATAGAGCATTCCAACACGAAGCACATCTCTGTCTCTGTCTGTCTGTTTGTCTCTTTGTCTCTTTGTCTGTCTTACTGTCTCTCTCTCCAGTTTGACAATTTCAAGCGGGTGTTCAAAGTGGTGGAGGAGCTCAAGGGCCCACTAGTGGAGAACATACAGCGTCACTTCTTGCTCTCCGACACACTGGCAAGGTGGATACAAGAATAGAGTGGGAGGAATAAGGAAGGAGAAACAGAAATAGTGTAGCGAAAGAGATCTGTCAACCATAAGTCTAGTAGTATATACAATATATTCACAGGGAATAGTATACATGCATCTTTGTTTATAGACGATTTGACGTTATGGTTTATAGAATTATGGATGAAAAAGGGATAATTGCCTGTGTTAGTTTCCTTGGGTTCAGGCCCTCCAACGTACTGTGCCTCCATCTCACTTTTCTCTCTATCCCTGCAGGGACTATGCTGCCATTGTGTTTTTTGCAAACAGCCGTTTTGAGACAGGAAAGAGGAAGCTGCAGTACCTCTCATTCCAAGACTTTGCCTTCTGTGCAGGCCAGCTCATCAGTTACTGGACAATAGGAGCAGTGGGTAAGATGCATCTCTGTTGATTTGACCAGTCACTAATGGCACCAAAGCATGCACAATGTTACTAACTGTAGTAGACAATGCAAAGAAGCCAGTCCCTGGGGAAAAAAGTATATAATATAAATAATTATTTGAATTCAAAGCTCTTGTCAGAAACAGTTTTATTTGGCCCGTAGAAGTAGTTGCGTTATGACAGGGGTCTCCAACAGGTTGATCGCACAGTAGCTCGCAGACCACTTATGAGTAGCACGCAAAACAATTGTGTTCCACCTCAAACTGTCATAACGCATCAGACACCGCAAGCTCCCAGCTACTATCTAACCAACGCAACATAGAAATTATCCCACCCTTGGTTAGCCACTATTTGCTTAAAAAGCCAAACCTAACACAATATCTGCCAATTAATTTCCAGCAATTTTTCCCCTTTAGGTCTGTGTGGTGCGGGCATTTGTCTATCACTCCTTGTGTAGCCAGTAGTGATGGCTCGTTCGCGAACGGCTCTTTTTGAACAGCTGTTTTTGGTGAACGCCGGGAACCGAATTGCGTATGTGAAAAATAAGTTAATTTGGCTCCCTGATTTGCATACTTTTACTATTACTTTTTGAGCCCCAGACATCGATTATCTGCAGATAAATTATAAAAACATTCTCTGAAGTTGGTAATTCCTCAGTGCAATAACAATAGTGAGGCGAGAGCCTCATTCTGGTCCACGCTCATTTTATCAGTGCGTAAAATGTTGTCTTCATTTTTTTTTGCAGGCCATCTAATAATTTGGTCAGGTAAACATTTATTTGAACTCACATTTCACGATATGACATAATGGTAGGCAACGTTTTAGGCTTTAAATGAGAGATTAAAGCCGTTTGGGAGCCAAATGAACGGCTATTAGAGGTGAACGAAGCCAAATGATCCGGCTCACAGAGGACTTGGAATGCCCATCACTAGTAGCCAGTTGATGTGATAACTGTCTTGTGGGTTGACAGAAATACTTTCCACAAAGCCTTCTCAATTAAATGTTAAGTGCAAAGTAGGCTTACCTGGCAGAAGTATATCATGAGGAAGTACTGTATATTATTTGCAAACTTTGCCATGAAATGAGCAGCAGTACAGAACCATCGCTAGACTAGGGTTAATGGTTGCGTATGGTTTTGTGTTAGGGTAGGCTTAATTAGGGTCAGGTAACTATGGTTTGGAGTCAGGTTTCGGTAGGGTAGGGTAGGGTATGGTGGCAAGGTTGGTTGGGTGTTAGGCAGGGTTAAGGTTTGGGTGGCAAAGTGACGGTTGGGTTAGGGTTAGGTAAGCTAGATGATGGTAGAGGGTTGGAATTGCATCACTGAGTCAGTTGAGGTAGATAGTTTGGGTTAGGAGATTAGTTTCAAGGCTTCATTAGGGTTGGTTCAAAGTAGGTTACCTGGTAGGTAGGTTATTGAGGGTAGGTATGGTTATTGAAGCTTTGGCATGAAGTGAGGTGGTTAGATACGTTAGGGTAGGTTGTGTAGGGTTAGGGTTAGGGTTAGGGTTAGGGTTAGGGTTAGGGTTAGGGTTAGGGTTAGGGTTGGGTTAGGTGTAGGGTTAGGGTTAGGGTCAGGGTTAGGGTTAGGGTTAGGGTTAGGGTTAGGGTTAGGGTTAGGGTCAGGGTTAGGGTTAGGGTTAGGGTCAGGGTTAGGGTTAGGGTCAGGGTTAGGGTCAGGGTTAGGGCTAGGGTTAGGGTTAGGGTCAGGGTTAGGGCAGCACATCAGACTGCACACTAGATGTGCAATTAAATTAAAGGGCCAGATGCGCATTTAAAGGGGAATTAGAATCTAAATGTGTTAGTTTTCTTCCAGACCCCCAAAAAATGGTCTTCTAGAGTGATTTAAGCATTGACATCGACTTAGAACATCTAATTTTGTTGTTTCGCTATGAACAATTGTAATTTTGAGAGTGAAAACCCCAAAAACGTTTAGAGTTGTTTATTAACCATTATCTAACCAGGTATTTTAACAAAAACATAGTGCACTACTTTCTCTTGTACACTAAGGACCCCGGGAAGAGTTGCAGGGGAAAGGAGAAGATACATTTTTTTGAAAGTTAGAGAAAAATGAGTAGCTTGCGACATGTTTCGTTTTTGTAAAAGTAGCTCTCATGAAAAGGTTGGAGACACCTGCTTTATGAGGTTTCAATGCTGCACATACTTGGCTTTCTAGCACCAGATCCCATTCATTTTTTCCCTCTCTCTTCACAGATAGCATGATGGAGGATATGGATGTTGACCTGGAGAAAGAGTTTCTGCATGAACTGAAAGATCTCAAGGTTTTGGTTTATGACAAAGACATGCTGGACCAACATAAAATGTACGATGGGTGTAACCATGTGTATGAAAGTGGTTGTGTGGGTTAATGTTGAGAGTTGTAAAAAGAATTCAGCCATTGATGTCTTTGCTGGTCCCCCTCTTGAATCTCTTCTCTCCTCTCGTCTCTCTCTTAGCTTGGTGTGTGCTGCTCTGCGGGGAAAGATCAAAGTCTACAAGTTGATGGAGGCTAACTTTAAAGTGAGCAACTAACTGATAAGTGCTTTTAATGTGTACAAAGACTAAGATATGCACATATCAGAGTTGGAGTTGTTTTTAACCAGAAGTGAAATACTATATTGCCAATGCATGAAGAATAATAGTTAATTTCAATTAAAAGTGTCTAAATTATGATGAATTAATAAGTTAAAGTAAAATATATCGAAGCTATATGAAACTGGTGACTAATAGGAATCGAATAGTCTAACATTTCAGACTTTGATTCCTAATCAGATTGAAATGAAGATCCCACATCCCTCCCCCAACTGAAACAAGACAAAATGGAAAGAATTAGAATCTGTTAGGTTGTAAGAATTAATATTTTGCTCTCTTTTCCTATCTCATTCTCTCTGCACACAGAATCTTTCTAGAGCGCTGATAAACCTTGCATCTAAACTTACACATACCAAAGATGTCAGAGATTTATTCATCGACCTCGTGGAGAAGGTACACCCCTAATAGCCAATAAACGTGTTATGACATATGTGACAAGTCCTCTTTTAACATGTTTCTAAAACTTGTTGTAGTGAAATTCCCTGTTTGGCATTATAGATTGTAGAAACAAATTAGACATGATCGTAGAGTTGGATGTGAAGTATATCTGGCAATGTATTGATGTAGTTTTAGTGGTTAACTCTTGTTGGTATAGTATTCAGTTTGACCTGTCTGTGGAATAGATTCTGTATCTACTGCCCTGATACTGACTATCATCCTATGACTAAGTTGCTTTTCCCCTGTCCTGATAAGATTGAGAAAAGCTCTGCTAACAGCCTTATGTCCTCCTCCTCTTCTCTTAGTTCATAGAGCCATGTCGATATGATAGATGGACAGTGGCAGAGATCACACTCTTCCTCACTCACTACACCAATGCCGCTCACTGTCTTGGCACATTCAGGTTAGTGTGTTTGTGTGTGTGTGTGTGTGTGTCTCTCTGTGTGTGTGTGTGTGTGTCTCTCTCTGTGTGTGTGTGTGTGTCTGTCTCTGTGTGTGTTGTGTGTGTGTGTGTGTGTGTGTCTCTCTCTCTCTGTGTGTGTGTGTGTCTCTCTCTCTCTGTGTGTGTCTGTCTCTCTGTGTGTGTGTGTGTCTCTCTCTGTGTGTGTGTGTGTGTGTGTCTGTCTCTGTGTGTGTGTGTCTGTCTCTCTCTCTCTCTGTGTGTGTGTGTCTGTCTCTGTGTGTGTGTTTATACAGTCATTAATGTTGTTGTAATGCTTCATCTCTTCTCTCGTCAGGCATCAGATGATTTGGGACAGATACATGGGCGTCATCAAAAGCTGCATCCTCCAAATGTACCATGAATAGGCAGATCCCTGAACCCTGGTCTGGACCGCCTCTCCTGATTGATCTGTATCACAGGAGGCTGCTGAGGGGACGATGGCTCATAATAATGGCTGGAATGGAGTGAATAGAATGGTATCAAACACGTGGAAACCATGTGTTTGATATGTTCGATACCATTCCATTGATTCCGTTCCAGCCATTACTATGAGCCCGTCCTCCCCAATTAAGGGTCCACTGGTCGCCTGTGATCTGTATTGATCTTACTGTGAATCTCAGTCTTCCCTCTTGCATTTTTTCGTAACTACCTCAGCCCAGTGCAGTCCACTTCTCCACCTCTCCCTGATCAAAATGAACTAGCTCTCTCAATCTCCTTCTATCTCTTCAGTCAGTCCCCCCAGTAAATATACTAAATGAACTGAATACTTTTCTGATGTGTAAATTGTGACTTAAATGAAGTAAACATATTTGTTTTAGACAGATGTTTCAACTGTTTTGTATATGTTTGTGAAAGTGTGAGGGTCTGTGTGTGTGTCTTAGTCCATGTGTGTGTGTTTTAAGGGGGTGGGTTAGCAGCAGGGGGCTACAGTTGGTCAGGGTTGTCTCGGAGGGGTTTTGTGTCTGAACTGAGACTTTACTACCTTATAAAACCCCTTCACTGGGACAGCTGTCAACCCCCTCCTGCCCCGATCCTGCCAAATGGTAATGGAAATTCCCTTGACAAAGTGTCCCCATTTTCCTAATGATAACTTGGACTAAGGAAATGGAATCACAGTTTATTTTCCCTTGAATCAGCTCACTTTTCCAATGCATAGAGGCATTTGCACTCTGGTGCAATACAGGGATTTATCATGTTGAACATGAGCACACTGGTGTGTACACTGTAGAAACTGTGGCCTGCTGTCTTTAACTGTTGTACCTTGTTTCTTTGTTTCTGCTCGTTAATTTGTCTCCACATTCCTCTGGGCCCCCCTTCTTCCCAGACAGTAAATATCCAACTGTGTCAGAAGGAGAATAAGGGGGCAGGAGAGGGCAGGGATGGATGGCACTCAGAGGTACGGAGGGAGCAGGGGGGAAGAGTGATAAGTTAAGGACTGGGTTTGATTTAATCCAGGTATGTCCTTTCCCCAGAGAGCAGGGTTGGTTTTTCATGCCACCATTGTCCCTGGCTGGTTGATTAATGGATGTGGAATTTGGGCTGCAGACCAGGAATTTGAATCCCAGATAAAGAGAAGAATAGACAGAGGACATGGCCAAACAAGAGGCTGAAGGAGGGTAAGGCTCAGGGCTGGGCAGCAAGGATGTGGTTTAGGGGGTAAGAATGGGCTGTCCCTCCCCCTTTCCTTTCTCTACCCCAGCCCCCTTTTTTTCTCCACAAACACTTCGTTTCACAAACACACTTTCACACTGCTTCACATACTCACTTTCACACTGCCACAATCTACTGATCTACTTGTAGGACAGACACCTAAAAGACAGGACCTGTAAATCACTAATCAAAAGGAGGAGAGAGAAAGTGAGGAAGAGACAGCCCATAAAGCTGTACTATAGCCCTGCATCTTGAGGAAGATTTTCTGTTAGCATAAACCGCAAAAGGGTGTCAAGGACGTACAACATTATACAAGTGAACAGAACTGTGGATTAGAGGAAGACTGATCAGTGAGTGTGATTCTTTAAAATATTTACCTTGATATTTGTGTCTGATGTGTTTCAATGTTAGATTTTTAAACTGTTATTGTATGTAGGAATGTAGAATTTAAAAACAAATATGCAATACATTACATAGAAAGACAGTACTGTAGGCAGTAACATGTCATTCTTCATTCTTCCCTTCAACCTGCTGTAGTACAAATGTAGGATCTTAATTTGAGCCAGTTTGCTACAGCAGGAACATAATCCTACAGCAACAGGAAATGGAAATTATTATGTGAATTATAATTAATGGACACTTTTGCAGGGGTTGATACATTTTTTGTAAATCAAGTCTGACATTTCAAAGTGGAAATTACAATCTTTAGAAGCCTTTTTAAACCTCAAATACACTACAAGTTAAAAATGTATTGCATTGCAGGAAAGTTATCCTGCAACAGGCTGATTAAATTAAGATCCTACATCTGTATGTTGTTTTCTGCTATTTAATTTTTTTCTTTGAGGATAAAATGCACTGTGTAAGTTCTGCAATGCAAGTTGTATTGAATTGATTGATCAATTGCTAAATATATGCTCATCTTAAAGCCTGTTACTGCAGTGGGCTAAATCAGGGTCACACAGAGTGATTCTTGGTAGTCTTAAACTAATCTACTTTGAAACAAAAGTATACACCTCACACACATGGTTATGGGCTTACAAAAAAGAAGTCACCTGTACCATGTTGAAATGTATAACATTTTGAGTTTGCATCCCAATATACACTTTCTATACATCACAGAAGACTAAAATATAACACAACTGTTTGACATAGAAACACCTGATTTTTGTCTGTTTTCTTTAATAATCTGTATTAAATATGAAATTATGAAAAATATTAACAACATTCCACCCATGAGGACAATAGAGGGCGCTTTTGGTCAGTGACTGCAGGAAAGGGATCGGTCTACCCACTAAAACCCTCCTGAAAGAGGAGGCTCATCTGTCAATCTCATCACCTGCCAGGCTTTAGGGCCAAGAATGGCCACAATAAACATGTGTACATTTCCACATTTGATTTTGAGATGGTTTAATATTATGCTAAACGTCTGTTTTACATTATTGCACAATGATAAAACCTATGGAAAAATGTACCATGGACTAATAAAAGCTTATGCACAGCTGTGAGCTAAATCCAGTTATGCATAGCTTCATGTGGTGTCTGTATACCTGCACCTGTGCCCTCCCAGGCCCTTGAGGTCATATCTCTGGCACCATTAGACTAGAGTAGTGAGGAATTTAGGAAAGGAGTTCACGGCCTTCTTGGAACCAGCCTAATTGCTTTAATCTCTCAGAGAGTGGTGATGTGGTTATTTGCCAATATCAGCAAGTGTCTGTCTGGATATGGGGGTTCAGTCTCATTATACTGAAGTGAAAACAGAGGACTTCATGGTATGTGGCAAGTTATGAAATACCGATTCAAACCATTATAATTGTGTGACATATTTTCTTTGAAATGGTAGTTTGGCCAGTGGCACACATTGTTCTACTTATGCAGTACATGACTCGAGCATGAGAGCATGGGGCAGTCTACTCTGTCTTCCAGTGTGACCATTAGTTTAGCAGGTTAAAAAGCATGGGTCTAAATGTAGCTATTTGACATAATGCAGTTGTGTTCAGGTCACCCATGCACAGTCTGAACTGGGATACATGCACACATGACATACCACTAGTAAGTATCACTGTTTATGCCATTGTCATACTTAATTTCTCTCTCTCTCTCTTGTCTCTCACAGATTCTGGAATATCACTTTGGTTCCCCTCCCTGTGTTATTGATCTTTGCCCGTACATTTATGTACTGCTGACTCAAGTGTGTGATTGTGATTGAGTGACTCCGCAGCATTTGTTTGTCTGTCTGCTACCTGCTCTCTATTTGTTTGCTTCTGTGTGTTTATGTGTAGTATGCGGGGAACATTTGTGTTGTTATGTGTGTGTGTGAGTTTGTCCCTCCACCACCATACAATGTCTCAATCGCCTCCTGAAGGTGACAGCCTCATGGTAAGGATGAGTCAGTCTTCACGTCTCCTCTTCCTTCTTATTACTTTTTCATTGCTTAGTTTTTCACCCTGTCTCTTCTAAAAGCCACTTTATGCCTCTCTCCCTGCAACATTTACACCTCTCGATAACAATGCTCATTCCCCATGTACCTGAGTCAGTCCCTCTTCTAATATTGTATATGTGCATAGATGCTCTGGCACTTTAGTGCATACAGTCAACACTGCAACCTTTCTCTCTCTCTCTCTCTCTCTCTCTCTCTCTCTCTCTCTCTCTCTCTCTCTGTCTCTCTCTCTCTCTCTCTCTCTCTCTCTCTCTTTCTTTCTTTCTTTCTTTCTTTCTTTCTTTCTTTCTTTCTTTCTTTCTTTCTTTCTTTCTTTCTTTCTTTCTTTCTCTCTCTCTCTCTCAGGAGTGCACAGATGGTTATGAGTGGGATATTGAGAGTCAGCATTGTAAAGGTGGGTGGATTAATTTAGGTTGTAATGTTACAGAGAGTGATGTGTGAGAAAGTGATGTCACTGTGCTTATGATCTGATGGTGTCACAGCCAAAATATCATGGTAAATATGCTTCCTTTGTCAGTTCTATTCATCACCAACTCTCATTTGAGGTTTTTTTACTCCTCACGTGATTGCACTTTCACACTTTCCTCCTCATCTCTTGCTCTCTCCATCTCCTTCATTTGCCTTTCACCCATTTTCTCTCTTACCTCATCTCTCAGATATCAATGAGTGTCAGACCATTGTGGAGGCCTGCCAGGGGGAGATGAAGTGTTTTAACCACTATGGCGGTTACTTGTGTCTCCCACGCTCTGCCTCTGTCATCACCGCCCCTGAACCGTCCAGCCAATCAGTGGCCATCCTGCCAGTGGAGTCCAATGAGGCCTTCAACCCCTGTCCTGTGGGCTACGATGCCCATGGGGAGGGCTGTGTAGGTGAGGCCCAGTGGGAGGGCTGTGTAGGTGAGGCCAGTGGGAGGGCTGTGTAGGTGAGGCCCAGGGGGAGGGCTGTGTAGGTGAGGCCCAGTGGGAGGGCTGTGTAGGTGAGGCCAGTGGGAGGGCTGTGTAGGTGAGGCCCAGTGGGAGGGCTGTGTAGGTGAGGCCAGTGGGAGGGCTGTGTAGGTGAGGCCAGTGGGAGGGCTGTGTAGGTGAGGCCAGTGGGAGGGCTGTGTAGGTGAGGCCCAGTGGGAGGGCTGTGTAGGTGAGGCCAGTGGGAGGGCTGTGTAGGTGAGGCCCATTGGGAGGGCTGTGTAGGTGAGGCCAGTGGGAGGGCTGTGTAGGTGAGGCCCAGTGGGAGGGCTGTGTAGGTGAGGCCAGTGGGAGGGCTGTGTAGGTGAGGCCCAGTGGGAGGGCTGTGTAGGTGAGGCCCAGTGGGAGGGCTGTGTAGGTGAGGCCCAGTGGGAGGGCTGTGTAGGTGAGGCCCAGTGGGAGGGCTGTGTAGGTGAGGCCCAGTGGGAGGGCTGTGTAGGTGAGGCCAGTGGGAGGGCTGTGTAGGTGAGGCCCAGTGGGAGGGCTGTGTAGGTGAGGCCCAGTGGGAGGGCTGTGTAGGTGAGGCCAGTGGGAGGGCTGTGTAGGTGAGGCCCAGTGGGAGGGCTGTGTAGGTGAGGCCCAGTGGGAGGGCTGTGTAGGTGAGGCCAGTGGGAGGGCTGTGTAGGTGAGGCCCAGTGGGAGGGCTGTGTAGGTGAGGCCAGTGGGAGGGCTGTTTGGGTGAGTCACAAACCTGGACAGAGAATGGGAAGGCTGGCCATAAGTGTTGAGTGGGAGAAGGGTCGGGGTGAGTGTGTATGTGTTGGTTTATTTTATGGAGCGCTGTGAGTGAGAACAGAGATCAGGGTGGAATGATTTACTATGAACACCTCGCCTTCCCTATTTGTTCTACTGAATCAAAGGTTACACTGTGTGTGTGTGTGTGTGCGTGTGTTTTCAGACGTGGACGAGTGTGTACTCAATCTTCATGACTGCCAGCCAAGCCAGCAGTGCGTTAACACTGTGGGCACCTACAGCTGCCAGTGTCCAGATGGATACAGCAAGATTGGTATTGAGTGTGTGGGTGAGACAGGCTACCTACCTCATGTTTCTCTTTATTTTTTCCTCTAATGAGGCTTTTTACTTTGTGTTTATTTTCCATCTTCTCCTATTCTCCTTTGCGCTACCTCAGAATCTTACCTCCTCTCTTTCGTCCTCTCCTCTCAGACATTGATGAGTGCAGATACAGGTACTGTCAGCATCGCTGTGTAAATGTACCTGGCTCTTTCTCCTGTGAATGTGAGCCTGGGTTTCAGTTGGCTGGAAACAACCGTTCATGTGTGGGTAAGTCCCTTTACATGAGTAAAACTGGCAGCAACTCAACTTTAAACGCTAAACTAGAATTCATTACCTCACAATATATTTGATGATGGTTACTGTAGGTTCTTCTTATCCCCCTGCTGGTCTCTTCCTCACCCGACTACAACTTAACCCTAACCCTAACCCTACAACACCCAATATCCAACTCTAGATGTGAACGAGTGTGAGTTGGCCGCCCCCTGTCAGCAGAGATGTTACAACACGTATGGTACCTTCCTTTGTCGCTGTGAACAGGGCTACGAGCTGGGACCAGACAGACACTCATGCAATGGTAAAGGGCCTGATTTTCTCCTTGGCTATTGTCTGTCTGTCAGTCTATATCGCTGTAAGGTTTCCAACATGAAAACAAAGAATGCTGATGGTTATTAAACTCCAGCCCTTCAGTTACATCTGTGCCCTTCCCTGACTCTTCCCTGACTGTCTTTCTCTCTCTCTATCTATCTATCTATCTATCTATCTATCTATCTATCTATCTATCTATCTATCTATCTATCTATCTATCTATCTATCTATCTATCTATCTATCTATCTATCTATCTATCTATCTATCTATCTATCTATCTATCTATCTATCTATCTATCTATCTATCTATCTATCTATCTATCTATCTATCTATCTATCTATCTATCTAATCTAATCTAATCTAATCTAATCTAATCTAATCTAATCTATCTATCGCTCCTGCTCTCTGTGCAGACGTAGACGAGTGCAGCTACTCCAGTTCCATGTGCCAGTTCCAGTGTGTTAACGATCCGGGGAGGTTCTCCTGTATCTGTCCAGAGGGGTACCAGCTAGAGGGCACCAGACTCTGCCAAGGTAAACATCGTTACAATACGCTATCATTTTTATTTTTTATTTAACCTTTATTTATACAGGTTCTTCTCATTGAGATAAAAATCTATTTTTCAAGAGTGACCTGGTATTTATAACTGACAAATGTGAGAAGTTATGATATCTCTTTCTCTATGTTCTTCTTTCTCTCCTCTGCCCTCCCTCTCTTCCCCTATCCCCCTCTCCCCTCTCTCCCCCTCTCCCTCTCTCCCCCTCTCCAGATGTGAATGAGTGTGAAACAGACATACACCAGTGTGGAGAGGGCCAGACCTGTATTAACATCCATGGGGGTTATCAGTGCACCGATTCCAACCGCTGTCAAGAGCCCTATGTGCAAGGGTCCGACAAGTGAGTAGCATCCTCTTACACACAGATACACAAGAAATGACACACGGACAGCACTAGACAGGTTATTTCACCCCCTCTTCCCTGTCTTTCTAGCCGCTGTGTTTGCCCGGTCATCAAGCCTGAGTGTGGTGACCTCCCCTTCTCCATCGTCCACCGCTACATGAGCATCACCTCAGAGCGCTCCGTCCCCTCAGACATCTTCCAGATCCAGGCCACCAGCGTCTACCCTGGAGTCTACAACACCTTCCGCATCCGCTCTGGGGACGACAATGGGGAATTCTACATACGGGTGAGTGGGTGGGAGATACTGGCATCTTTAAGAGTATCAACTATTTTCTCTCCACTCCATGTGTTAACTGTAGACCAGTTTCATTCACTACACTACACTCTTATCCACATAGGAGAACCCTTTGAAGAACCCTTTTGGTTCCAGGTAGAACCATTTTGGGTTCCATATAAAACCCCTTTCCACAGAAGGTTCTACATGGAACCCAAAGGGGTTCTACCTGGAACCAAAAAGGGTTCTCCTATGGGGACAGCCGAATAACTCTTTTGGAACCCTTTTTTCTAAGAGAAACACCAACTGCTGAATATCCAGGTGTGTGTGTTGTAATGCTTGGAGTTAAAGGGTACAGTGTTGACTTAAGAGTCAGGGTGAGAACGTGTCCCAATCTCAGCCATACATGGTCTTATACATACCAGACCACTGGGTTGGATGCATGTCAAGAACAAAGCAGAATGTCTAGAATGTCTAGATGTCTGCATATTACACAAAAATACTTACCAAGACCTAACATGTAAAACTGCCTACTGCAGTAGTAGGGGAACAAAAATGACTGGTTTTGAAGACAGAATACTGAGTTAAAATTATGATTCAGTCCTGCACATTCATGCAATGCCACTACACCTCTCTCTATCTTTTCACAGCAAATTAACAACATCAGTGCCATGCTGGTCCTGGCCCGTGCTTTGACCGGTCCAAAAGAGTACACCCTGGAGCTGGAGATGGTGTCTGTCAACCCCCTCATGAGCTACCAGACCAGCTCTGCCTTACGACTGTCTGTCTTTGTAGGACCATACGCCTTCTGAGGAGAGAGGAGAATGGCTGGAATGGAATAAATGGAACAGTATCAAACTTGTTTTTGATACGGTTCTATTTATTCCCTTCCAGATATTATTCCCTCCTTTCACCAGCCTCCTCTGACACATACACAAGGACACACGCATGGCACACTGGCACAGGGTGCACATGGCTGGCACACGGGTACATCACAATAGTTTAAGACAGTTCAATCAGTAATATTCCCATTACAGTTATATAAACAGATTAACCTATCACCTTGTGTTCACCATAACACAGTTGGTATCTGGTCTCTACACCATATTTTCAATTTTCAACCCTAACCCTACGTTATATAGAGGGCCATTATCTTGTTACCAAGGCAACTGATGAAAACATCCATTCAAGGGTACCATTTCAACCCATGTTATACTATGTTCTCTTTCTCTCCATCAATAATTTACATTACTGTTTGTTACTATTCTGTAGTTTTTTTTTAGTTTTAGTTTTTAGTTTTTCTTTTACAACTTATGGTTGTTTTGACATGTTACTAAAATGAAGAGAAATGAAACCAACATTTGGATGAATGATGTTCCTTTTGGTGGCCTTACATACATCCTATTCTGCTTAATTAAGGCCCATTAATGGGTTATTTTACTGACCTTTTTTCTAACTCTTTCTGTCACGTTTGCTTATCTTCTTTTGAGTACAGACACAGATCAATGCATTTACACTACAGTAAATTAAAATCCGTAGAACACAATTACAATACAAGGGACACTGTTTCTATATACTACCACATTGGAGTATATTTATATCTGTAGTTACCATAGATTAATATCCTAATGTAAATTGCCAAATTACTGTAACTTCGGGTTTAAATGTCCTTTAAATGTATAGCCTACAGCGTAACTTAAAAGTTGGTAAATTGGTTGAGTCAATAAAGGGCCCTATTCAATCTGCATCACGGAAGTTCAGCTTTACAGCGTGATTGAAATTTAAAGGCAATGTTCCCGCTTTAGAGGAGACTGCATTCATGGTAAACGCTGAATATGTCGGCTCAATCGGAAATTACCTTTTACATTTCTAATCTGTAACGCTTCAGCTTTACAGATTGAATTGAGCCCAAAGTCTCCTTTCAACCTACTTTATCAATGTGTTGCATTAACGTGACTAGTTGGTAGACTGTGCATGAGGTCATGAACATGCACAGTCTTTTCGTCTAATTTTAACCCAGATGTCAACCAAAAATCAACACTAGGGTTCAAATCAACAATGCAGTCACATATGAACCAAACTTGGATGGGTGACGTCATGTAGCTGTGTAAGAGTTCACATTCATCTAAAAAGGGGTTGACATTACATCAATGCTCCACTGTATAATTTACCTTTACCTAAGACATAATTCACAGTTATCTCTGTTATCTAAACAATTATTTTGAGATATGGATGTTATTCTCACTTCATCATATTCATGTTCAAAAGGTTGACATTACATGAATGCTCCACTATAGAATGGTCCCTTACCTAAGACATAATTCACAGTTATCTGTTACCTAAATAATTATTTTTAGAAATTGATGTTATTCTCGCTTCATCATGTTCTTTTTCACACTAACAAGTTTTTCTCAGCTTTGCCCCACACACACATGGTCAGTAGACTGAAGTAGCAGTACCTTAATGTCTCCACATAGTGGCAGAAACAACAGAAACCTGAAGCTGATTCACTTGTGTAAAAAATAAGAATATTTAGAGTATTTCAGAATAAATTCTTTACTCAGACCTTACATTAGAATGGGCAGTGAAGAGTGTGTGTTTGCATGTGAGATAATGTGTGAGTATGTTTTGATGTGTTTGTATCAGAGTGTTGGGCATTCCTCTGTGGTATCTTCAGTGTGGGAGCTGAGAGGCAGGGAGTCCAGGCACAGACGTTATGTAGGTGGGCAGGGGAAGAAACAGATGGGTGTGGGTGGTGGGTAGTACAGGGGGTAATGTTATGGGTGGCGGTAGTACAGGGGGTAATGTTATGGGTGGTGGTTAGTACAGGGGGTAATGGTATGGGTGGTAGGTAGTACAAGGGGTAATGTTATGGGTGGTGGGTAGTACAGGGGGTACTGTTATGGATGGTGGTACCACAGGGGGTAATGTTATGGGTGGTGGGTAGTACAGGGGGTAATGTTATGGGAGGGGGGTAGTACAGGAGGTAATGGTATGGGTGGTGGGTAGTACAAGGGGTAATGTTATGGGTGGTGGGTAGTACAAGGGGTAATGTTATGGGTGCTGGTAGTACAGGGGGTAATGTTATGGGTGGTGGTAGTACGGGGGGTAATGTTATGGGTGGTGGGTAGTACATGGGATAATGTTGTGGGTGGTAGGTAGTCCAGGGGGTAATGCTATGGGTGGTGGGTAGTACAGGGGGTAATGTTATGGGTGGTGGGTAGCCCAGGGGTAATGTTATGGGTGGTGGGTAATACATGGGGTAATGATATGGGTGGTGGGTAATACAGGGGGTAATGTTATGGGTGTGGGTGCTGTCTAGTACAGGGGGTAACATTGTCAGGGCACACCTGGGATTGGACAGGGATTTCATCACAGGGTGCCATGGTATGGGTGGCAGGGGTCACAGAGCAGGCTCAGTCTGAGGTAGAGGGAGAGTATGAATTGGCTTACCAGTGAGGACCTAAAAGGTTATTATTAATCTTGTTGACACTTTACAATGACTAATTTGTATACATCTACAATAAATGGTTAAATCCTCACAACATATTCCAATTATATACTGTAGCTTCACCACCAACATATTTTATTAACCTATGCCGACTCGAAATGGTTTTTAGTCTTATTTATTCCTGTGGATAAAGATATTTGTATATTTCCTGTCCAGAGAGGAGGAAATTGAGCTGGATCAGGTAGAGAGTCATTTTCTCTCCACCCCCTCATGAGTCCCTAGTCATCACCAGTCCATTAGGAAAAGGGCTCTGACATGAGAGAACAAATGCATGAATGAAAGAGGAAATGAATAATCGTTCTATTCAAATTCAAAAAAGTGTAGGACAGTGTGTGTGAGCGAGAGACTGATTTTATATTTATTTGCATTTAGCTTGTTCATACAATTTTTAATATCATTAGAGAAAATGTAATCATGACTAGAGACAAATGCGGCATCATTACCTGATTGTCACGTCTCCTCCCGTTGCTCCCCTCCGGCGCTCTGATTCGCCGGTCTACTGAGCCACCGGTCTGAATGCACCACCTCGGCAACACCGGAATGGAAACCCAACGCACCCTAATCACCTCCAGCGCACCTGCACCTCATCATCACCCCTATTTAGCCCTGGACTGTTCTGTAATATGTTGTGTGTGATTGTTTAGCTTCGTGTCGTGTACGCTATCTTTGTTATTTCTCTTTGTCATTGTTTAGTAAACCTTGTTAATTCCTGCATCTGCGTCCTGTCTCTTCGTATACTCAGTACTCGTCACAGAATCACACACCAAACGAAAATGGATGCAGCAGGAGTTTCCTAGTGCCTCGACCAGCACCAGCAGCAGCTTGCCCAGTTGAATGCCGCCATGCAGGAAGTACTCCAAACTCTGCATAATCTGCCCAGCGCTCCGGTTCCACCTCAGGGAGCGGCGAGTGCCCCCAATCCACCTGTTCAACTGCAGTCTGGGAAGGAGAGGAGGCAGTGGCACTAGCCTACCCCACCTTCCTCGCTCAATTCAGGGTGGTGTTTGATCATCCCATGGAGGGAAAGGACGGGGGTGAGCGTCTCCTCCATCTACAACAGAGAGAGGGGCCCGCGTCCGAGTACGCTCTGAGCTTTCGCATGGTGGTGGCGTCTTCCGGCTGGAATGAGCGTGCTATGCGCACAGCCTTCAGGAGAGGCTTAAGGGAGGACATCAAGACGGAACTCACATGTCGGGACGACGAGATGGACCTTGATACCCTCATCACCACGTCCATCCGTCTTGACAACATGTTGAGAGAGAGACGGCGTTCCCAACACCTCCCGGAACCTCGACGCTCACCCCATCTGGCTATGGAAGCCGCCCTGCTTCCGAGTCCTCACCCATGGAGGTGGGCAGCACCCCCTACACCACCATGGATAACAGATCTCCTGGCGGCTCCCTATCTAGGCGGTATGACTCCCGTCGCCGCTCCGTGAGTGTTACGTCAGCTCCTATCACAAAACCATTGTTTTGTGATAGGATGACTAGTTAACGTTAGCTTGGCTCTCTCTCTGTGTTCGTGCGGTGGGAGGAGGGGTTTCTTCGTTGGCAGATAGCAATGGCTAGCTAGTATGCTAACTATTCTAGCTAACTAACTGGCTGAATAAGTTGACGACGGACTCGCTCAAGCTTTCGGGACTAACCCACAACGTTAGACACGGACACGAATGATCTGCTTGGCGTGTTGACACACTGGTGGTTTGTTGTGGCCGAGTATTGGTGCTAAACCGTGTTGTTGGAGTCCGGCATGCTAGTTGGCTGTGGCGTCATATGACTAGGTGCCCTGGACGGTTTTCACGGAAGAATACTGTACCAAGTTAGCTAGCTGAATAAACTAAGTTAGTCTATTCCTAGAAAACATTGAACCGCTGTAGTTTACAACAATTATAGTTTCTGAGGTGGAAGTTGGGAGAGTTATATTTGGGTGTTTCAGTGAAACATAAGTGAGGGAGGCCCCACTCTCTCACTTTCCCAGATGTTTAGTTCATTTCATTCCGATCTCCTTTGCATTATTGTAGCCATTTTCTGTAGCCTGTCAACTATGCCTCTGTCTATCCCTGTTCTCTCCTCTCCGCACAGGCTATACAAACGCCTCACACCGCGTGGCTGCTGCCTCTCTAACCTGGTGGTCCCTGCACGCACGACCCACGTGGAGTTCCAGGTCTCTGGCAGCCTCTGGAACTGCCGTTCTGCGGCCAACAAGGCAGAGTTCATCTCAGCCTATGCTACCCTCCAGTCCCTCGACTTCTTGGCGCTGACGGAAACATGGATTACCACTGAAAACACTGCTACTCCT